AAATCAGAAAAGTCAAACTCTCACTATTTGCTGATGATATGATAGTTTACATAAGCCATCCCAAGAATTCTACCAAGGAACTTCTACAACTCATAAATACTTTCAGCAATGTAGCAGGATACAAGATTAACTCAAAAAAAAATCAGTAACTCTGCTGAATAAGGTACCGAGCCATGTGACTAACACAGACAAGAATTATGGGCTGATACAAGTTAAAAGAATTAATTAATAAGAAGCCTGAGCTACTGGACCAATCAGTTTATGATTAATGTAGGCCTCTCTGTGATTTTCTGGGACTTAATGGCAGTGGGAACTGGGCAGGACAGAAAACTCAGCCAACAGGGAACCACAGAGTCTACGTTATTTATTTGGCTTCTTCCACTCAACATAATAAAATGAGATACATCAAGGCTATTGTAGCAATAGTTTGATAATATTTCTTGATGAGCAGTGTTTCCTTGTGTAGAAATAATGTGTTTTTCCATTCACCTGTTGGTGAGTGTTATCTGGGATAACAGCATTTGGCTATGGCAAATAAAGCTGTTGCATGCATAAATCTTCGTAACCATATATTTTCTCCTTTTTTGGTAAAGATACAGAATTAGAATGATTGAATAACACAGTAGGCTCTAGACACCTTATCTGTTTATTATTGTTGAGTTTTGGAGAGCTCTTAATATGTACTAAAATATAAGTCTTTAATTGATATATACTTTGGAAAGATTTTTTTAAAACCAGTCTGTGGACGTTTTGATTTCTTAAGAAAAAGTGTGGATTCCTTGAACCAAGGCATATTAGCACTTGGCTCAGCATGTTGTCACCATTCCAACCAGAAATTGGCACAAATGCTACTGTGTCAGGGTTGTAGCCAATTTTCTTAATGTAGGTGCTGACTTCCTTAACAATTTCCTCCTATCTCTTCTGGCTGTAGGGTGGCTCGGTGGAATCCATTTTGTTGACACCAACAATTAGCTGTTTCACTCCCAGGGTGTAAGCCAGAAGTGCATGCCAGTTGGTAGTGCCAGTGGGAACACCCTGTTGGAAGCTTTGGATCGTATTCTGCCACCAACTCGTCCAACTGACAAGCCTCTGTAACTGACCCTCCAGGATGTCTATAAAACTGGTGGTATTGGGTCTGTCCCTTGGGCCGAGTGGAGACCGATGTTTTAAAACCTGGCATGGTGGTGACCTTTGCTCCAGTCAATGTGACAACAGAAGTAAAGACTGTTGAAATGCACCGTGAAGCTTTGAGTGAAGCTCTTCCTGGGGACAACGTGGGCTTCAATGTGAAGAACCTGTCTGTCAAAGACATTAGACATGGCAACGTTGGTGGTGACAGCAAAATGGAAGCTGCTGGCTTCACTGCTCAGGTGATTATCCTGAACCACCCAGGCCAAATTAGTGCTGGCTATGCTCCTGTGTGATTGTCACACAGTTCACATATCATGCAAGTTTGCTGAGCTTAAAGAAAAGATTGATCGTTGTTCTGGCAAGAAGCTGGAAGCTGGCCCGAAATTCTTGAAATCTGGTGATGCGGCCATTGTTGATATGGTTCCTGGCAAGCCCATGTGTGTTGAGAGCTTCTCTGACTATCCTCCACTGGGTCGTTTTGCTGTTCGTGACATGAGGCAGACAGTTGCTGTGGCTGTCATCAAACCTGTGGACAAGAAGGCTGCTGGAGCTGGCAAGGTCACCATGTCTGCCCAGATAGCTCAGAAGGCTAAATGAATACCATCCCCAGCACCTGCCACCCCAGTTTTAATCAGTGGTGGAAGAACGGTTTCAGAACTGTTTGTCTCAATTGGCCATTTAAGTTTAATAGTAAAAGACTGGTTAGTAATAACAACCTTCAGAAGGAAAGGAGAATGTTTTGTGGACCATTTTTTTTGTGTGTGTGTGGCAGTTTTTAGTTTTCAAAATCAGTACATTTTAATGGAAACAACTTGATCAATAATCTGTCAGAATTTTGAGACCCATAAAAACAAGTTAATTGAGAGAAAAAAAGTGTGGAATGAAAAATTAAATTTTAACAAAATTCAAATTACCTTTCATGGATTATGTTTGCACAATCCACATATTTTCTTCAATGCTTTCTGGCTTACAGTTTTAGAGTTTACATTTAGTTCCACAATAAATTGTGTGTATGTGTGTGCATGCATAACTGTGTGTCTGTGTGCATGCATGTGTACATGCCTGAACATGTGGAGGCCAGAGGGCAATGTCAGACATCTTTGTCCACATTTTTTTTCAAGACAGGGTTTTTCTGTGTATCACTGGCTGTCCTGGAACTGGCTCGGTAGATCAGATTGGCCTCGAACTCACAGAGATCTGCCTGTCTCTGCCTCCTGAATACTGGGAGCAAAGGCATGTGCAGGATTTCTCACTGAACCTGGAGCCCCATCCAATTGGACTGGCTAGCTAATGAGCTCCAGGGGTCCACCTGTCTTTGCCGCCCCAGCACTAGGGTTATGTTCTAGTTTCCATTGTCCTTACTTTGATAAGATACCCCAATTGAAAGTGTCATAGAGGAAGAAAGGGTTTGTTTGGTTTCCAGTTCCAGATTACATCTTACCATCGAGGGGAGTCATGGGAAGAATTCAAGGCAGAACCTTGAAGGTTGATATTCTTGCTCTTCCACATGGCACAGTCCCAGACCTCGGAACTCACTTTCCAGCCCAGAAGCACAGCAGGGACATTGACAATGATGCTTGCTAGTGGGCTTGCAGGCTGGCTTGTACTACCCTATCTTTTTCATACAGTTCAGGACCACCTGCCTAGGTATGGTGCTGCCCAGAGTAGACTGGGCCTGTCTACGCCAACTAATAATCAAGGCAATACCCCACAGACTGCCAACAGGCAATTTTGATCTAGGTGATCCCTCAGTTGAGGCTCTGTTCGTTCTCAGGTGATGCTAGGTTGTGACAAGATGACATTTAAAATTAACCAGCACAGATGACAAGTGCACGCCACTATGCCTGGCTTGGAGATGGAACTCGGGTCTTCATTTCTAGGCAGGAGATACTTTACCAGCGAAGCCATATTTTCAACTCTATAACTATTTTTCAAGTAATTTCTTGAATGTGGCAGTATAATGTCTATTTCCATTTTTTTCATATGGAGATATGCCAGAAAGATTCACTTAAAAAGCTATCCTTTCTCTACTGTGTTACTTTTGTGAAACACTAATTTTCTACCTTTGTGTGACTTTGAGTTTTGTTTTACTTCATTGATATATTTGAATTGACTGTCTACCAATATCATGTCATTATGATTACTAAAACCTGTATAATAAGTCTTAAATAAAATCAGGCATAAAATCAAAATCAAATTTTGTCCCTTTTATTTTGTTTTTGTTTGGCTATTCTAGGTCTTTCCGTATTTTCATAAGAATTTCAGAATCAGTTTGTTACTTTTCTAAAGAAAATGTATTTTTCTTTAATATGTATAAAATATATAAAGTCAAACAAGACAAAATTTACTATATATAATATAGATATACAATTTTGCTATGTATCTATAAAGAAAACAGTAAAACTAAGAAGGAAATAGATGGAACGACACGTTATTGTCCTACTGTGTAGTTTTGTTTCTAAAGAGAAATTGTTAGTATCTTTATTTTTGTCCTTAGGTACGTCTAATTTTTAGATTTTTTCTGTATCACTGCTTTTGATCAATTTATTATCCACTTTGTAGTTTTCTTTTATGTGTGTATGCTCACGTTTCATTGAGCTTCTGAAGCTGAAGGAAAAGATGAAGTCTGTGGATAAATACGTCGGTCAGAGGACTGAAGAAGTAATGGAAAATCACAGAAGTTTTCTTTTCCTCCTTCTCCTCCCCCTTTTCCTTCTTCTTTTCTCTCTCTCTCCCTTTCTCTTTTTGTTTGTTTGTTTTTTTTTTATTTTGAGACAGGGTTTCTCTGTGTAACAGTCCTAGCTATCCTGGAACTAGCTCTTGTAAGATCAGGCTGGCCTTGAACTCACGGAAATCTGCCTAGAAGTTTTCTTAAAATTATCAATGAAATAAGAAGCAAGACCATAGGCTGCTATGCGGTCAGAGAAGGAGATAAATAGGAAAGTATACCACTGTCATCTGGGGAATGAGAGAATTAATGAAGCAGGGACCTGTAACAAAATGTTCAATCAGTAGGGGCCTACCTAAAATTAGTGGGCGCGAATTTAAAGTCAGCACGGCATTCGTCAGTGTTGGCAACCTACCAGGTGACTGCAGCAATTTGGAGAGGAAGGGATGGTTATGTTGACTAACACATCCACATCAAAACAGAGATTGGAGTCTCAGAGGGCGGTTCCTTGTACCTAGATGACTGAATATATACATCTATTGATCCATGTGTAGCTCTTTCTTAACAATGAAAAGTCAGGGGCTACAAAGGAAGTTACCAAGAATAAATTCATTGTAAAGTCCTTAACACAATCAGCGAATTTATACACATCCTGGCTCCAGTCTGCCAAATGCAACCACCAAGTTCTCTCAACTTCTACTCATCCGTTACAATTTGACATACATCCTTGCGGAGGCAATTTCCTTGCTAGAGATGCTCTTTCTCCTTTGATGGTCTACTCCTCCTTGAATTTCAGCTTTCCTGAGAAATTAAACTATTCCTGTAAGGGCATTATCTAGTTTGTGCGGCTCTTTCTTAGCATTTGCCACTGTTTTCACCGTAACCGTTTCTGTCGTCAATAGCTTTCTGCTACAGTGCTATAAACTTCCTGAGTGCCGGGCCTGTTCTTAGTTCCTAGTGAACCCAGCGGGTCTGGCACACAGGTAGATGGTAAGAGATATTTTTAAGTAAACGAACAAAAGTGAAAACAAGTAAGTGCGGTATGTAGCCCCGCAGAGCCCCGAGCGGACGGAAGCAGGACAACTTAAAACACCGTGCCAGCCATCTACCGGCACCGGCTCTGAGACGCCTCCAAGGGGCTCGCCGGATATACGCAACGGCGTGGGGGCGGGGCTCTGGTAACCCTGGCAACATCCCGGAAGCCACTTTCCGCGTTCCCCTGTGGCGGGCTCTGCGGTTCAGGAGGCTGAAGTTTTAGTCGGGGTGGAGGCAGCAGTCGGCCAGCGGCAAGGCAGGTTGGGTGAAGGGGGCAGGCCTGATGTCCGCGCGTAAGGCGAGGGGAAGCGGCCGGCGCCTCCGTCTTCCGAGCACTCAGCGCCGCACGGCAGCTCTCCCCGCAGAGCCGGAGCGCGTTTCCGGGGAGGGCCCGGTGCTCCCTCTGCGGGGGCGCCCTTCCGTGCGCACGCGCGACCGTTCGGGCGCCCAGCCGGCGGCAAAACCCCGAGGCTGTCCGGTCTTCCAGGTGTTTGTTGTCCTGCCAGGGAGTGGCGAAGTACTCGCGGTGTTGGGACAGGGCGTGTCCTTTCAGTGGAGCGGTTAGGACTGGGTTTCGAAGAAAGGGCCGCTGGAGAGCTTGGGTCAGGCTTGGGATTGGGAGTCAAAAGTCTGAAGGTGCTCCAAAGGGAACTTGGCCTTCGTGTGGGAGGGCCCTTGAGGTTGGAGTCTTCGCCACAGTGGGCTCCAATAAAATCTCAGAAGGAAGGAAAATGAGATCTGTATCCCCATAGCTGGGTAAAATTGATGGCAGGGACAGTGTTCTGGTTGCCCTCCAGTTTTTCATACGAAAGGTGAATCTGATAGAATTCTACCAGCCCACCTTCGCTCCCCCAAAGCCTGGAAGGGCTTCCCACGGTCTTTAGCGCTCACATTGTTGTGGCCCTCAGCCTTCTTGACTTTTCGCTAGCTTGGCTAGCTTGCCTCCCTTTCAAGACGTTGCTGTTGAGAAATGAACACAGTTCTGAAAATGGTCTTTCCCCCTTGCACAGAACATTTTCCTTCCGCTCCTCTTATTCATGCTTAATCTTCAGCCTCGACTTTGTGGAGGGAATTGAGGAGAGGAGGTAGCTTTTCGTCACGTGTACTAGGTACTTAGTTGACATAAAGAATCGACTTGCTTTTTCTATTTTTAACCAGTGGTTTAGTTATTGTCCTTTGCAAATCTCACCTCTGTGAGGGTATAGATTGTTTCTCTTGTTTTATTTGATGCCTGGCTCTTAGCAAGTACTCTTAAGTTGTTTGATGAGTGCAGTGGATGAATGAGGGAAAAAGAAACCTTAAGGAATTTAATAACAAAATTGTTCCTAGTTGAAATGGAGCGGAGTAGATAGGATTAGCTTATGAATAACTGTAATGTTTTAAATATAATTTGAAATAAAAATTCCCTCCCTTTTAAAGAATTGCATGTTTTGAGCGAAGCAGAGCTAATCCATTTTTAGTGGTTTTCTAGCATGTTCTTTATAGTCAGTGAGTCACACGCTCTGTGACAGTTTTCTGCTCTCTTTGTTATTATTTGTGTCACTTTGAGCAATGTCATTACACTCTCTAAGTGTTATTCAAGTCATTTGAGAGAATTAAAAACTGTCACTGATGTCATCAACACTTAAATGAGAGTCGGTATTTGTCAGGCGGGGGTTTCCAAGCTGCTCACATATTTAACCAGTTTCATTTTAGAGTCAGTGATAAAGCTCACGCGAATCTAGACAGTCTGTTTCCAGGCTCTACTCTTAGCCACTGTACAGTGTTGTCTTTAAGCCAGTGTGTGCCTCCTGGAGCTGTGGGGTTAGTGGTGTGGCTCTCCATTAATGCTGCACATGCAGTTCTATAGACCACTTTTTTACATTGAACTTTTTCTTTTTGCAAATGTGTATGTGTGTGTGTGTGTGTGTGTGTAAGTGAGAGTTTGATATCTGTGTCTTTGTCACTTTTCCTCTGCCTTATATATTGAAGTAGGGTCTTTCCCTTGAATCTAGGATGTGCTGATTTGGTAATATCATTAGCCTGTTTGGGGATTGCCTACCTCTTCCTCCTTTAGAAAACAACAGCTTTGAGATATAATTCATGTGCCATAAAACCCATCCTTTATGTAAGTACATTCACAGTTGTACAGCCATCATCCGTGAATCCCGGAACATTTTCATCTCTCCTCCCACCCCAGGAGAAAAACAAACTATACGCCTGTCTTCTTCCAGGCAACCACCAGTATATTTGATATTTGTGTGTGTGCCTAGTCTATACTTAGATGAAATGGTATCATGTGATATGTGGCTTTTGTGCTTAGTTTTCTCATAGTTAATATATTCAAACTTCATCCACATTGTAGCATACATCAATACTTTATTCCTTATTGCTAAACAATATGCCATTGTATAGCTATATCACACACATTTATACACTGATGGGTTAATGGCATTTTGAAATATTTCCACTTTTGTCTATTAAATATATTGTTATGGACATTCATTTTCAAATTTTTCTGTGAACTAATGTTTTTAATTCCCTTGAGTATTTATGTGGGAGAATTACTAAGTCATGTGGTTTAAATTTCTGAATAATTTCCCACTGGTCTTCCAAAATGCCTATATAAATTTATGTTCCAGTCAACAAATACATGAAGATTCCACTTTCTCCATAGTTATTACTGGTCTGGTCCTTTTTTTAAAAAAATCACCTTAGAGTGATATTTGACTCATATTTAATTATGTTGATCATTTTATGAAAAAGGTCCTTTTACTTTGCATGTGAATGTTTAGCCTGCATGTCTGTATGTGCACCACGTGCCGCCTGGTGCCTTTGGAGGTCAGAAGATGGTGTTAGATCCCTGGAACTGGAATTACAAGTGGTTGTGAGCCATCATGTAGGTGGTGGGAATTGAACTGCGGTTCTCTGAAAAAGCAGCAAAGGTTCTTAACCGTTGAGTCATCCCACCGGCTCCTATCTTGATGAACTTCTAATGTGCTTATTGACCATCTAGTATCTTAGTTGAAGATGTCTATTCAAGACCTATGCTTGCTTTAAATTGGGTTGTTTGAATAGTCCCGGTATGAAGTTTCTTTGTATAGTCTAGATACAAGGTAAATGATTTGCAAATACCTTTGCCACTCATTAGTTATCTTTTCATTTTCTTGATTTTACCTTTGAGTAGTCTTTAAACATTTTGGTAAACCACTCATCCTCCCCACATCTGGTTTTACTCCAGGAACTATCGCTTGACCTGAGGTTCACGGCTATTTATACTCAGGTTTTCTTCTAAGAGTTCTGTAGGTTTAGCTCTAACATTTTAATATGTGACTAGTTTTAAGCTAATTTTTATACCCTTTATGAGGTAGGAACCTGATTTTTTCACAGAAGTATTGAAAACAATAATTATTGAATTAAATGATTTTGACTCCTTTTATGGAAAATAACTGTAATTGTAGTGGTTCATTTAGACTTGCCTGTTCCATGTCTTGTTAAGTGTTGGTTATGTCTACTACAAATGAACATCACAGTTGGTTAACTCTTGGCCCCTTAGTTTTCTCGTCTTTAAAATGAATCAAAATATTAATTACTTTATGAAGTTCTTGGTTTTTTGTTTGTTTTGTTGTTATTTTGAGATGGGGTTTCCTTTGTGTATCCTTGGTTGTCCTGGAACTAACTCTAGACCAAACTAGTCTTGAACTCACAGAGATCCACCTGCCTCTGCCTCCTGAGTGCTGGGATTAAAGATATGTGCCACTACTGACTGCCCGGCTGAGCCCCTTGTATTAAGGAAACTAAGATGCGAAAGAGCTTAGACTAGTAGCTAGCCTAGAGTGAGTACTCAGACTGTCTTCACTGATGCTGTTATTGCCATCACCATCATAAAACTTAATTGTTGGTGACAGATGGCTCTGAGAAGATTGTGCTCATAAGTACAAGCTGAAACCATATCCCTTTTTTTCAGTTTGTAAGACTTTAATTCAAAATTGATCAGAGACCTTAATGAAAGACATGAACCTCCTCGAGGAAACCAGGGAAACACAGGATACGGGCACAGGCAAAGACTTTCTGTATAAGGCTGTTGATCAATGTGGGCTGATGAGGGGTTCAGTGGGTTAGAGCCAAACCTAACACCCGAGTTTATCCCTGAGGCCCATGCGGTGGAAGGAGGAAGCCAACTCCCGCAGGTTGTTCTTGGGCCCTCATATGTGTGCTGTGGCATGTGCTCCTTCCTCTCCCCCAGAGGGCAATAATACTGCAGTAAAAGAATTGAAAAATGATGCTACGCCCTGTTAAAAAGCTGCACAGTTGAGACTCAGAGAGTGAAGAAACAGCTTACAGTATGGGTAGAGTCTGTTTCCCTAGTGTATTTCAGTTATTTAACAAGGGATTGATACCCAGAAATATAAAACTTTAAAAATCTAAACACCAAAAGAAGACATTGACTAATTGTTGGTCAAATGAACTGAACAGACAGTTTTCAAAACAAGTACCCATGACCAGAAACACATGAGAATAATGTTCAGGAGCTAGAGAGATGGTTCAGTCATTAAGACCTGTGTACTGTTCTTCTAGAGGACTGCGTTTGGTTCCTAGCACCCATGTGGGATGGTTCATGACCACCCATAACTCCAGCTTTAGCAAGTCTGACACCCTCTTCTGGCCTCTGTGTGCACCCACGCACATCTGGCATTCTCTCTCTCTTTCTCTCTCTCTTTCTCTCTCTCTCTTTGTTTCTCTCTCTCTCTCTCTCTCTCTCTCTCACACACACACACACACACACACACAGAGTTCTTTAAAAAAATGTTCAGTATCTTCAGTCATCAGTGAAATGCAAATCAAAGTTACATTGAGATTCTGTCTCACCAGATTGTCTATGTCATCAAAAAAAAATAATAGTTAGGACACTGGGAGCTGGAAAATAGCCCATATATGTGGTTGTTGGGAATGTAATTAGTGCAACCAGTATGGAAGTTCTTCAATCTTGTGATCCAGCTGTACCTCTCCTGGGTACATACCAAAAGTAAGGATACCACAGCATACCTTTGCATCCATGGTTATCGTGACACTGTTCTCAGTAGTCAAGTTATGGGCTCTGCCTAGATGCCCATCAACAGATAATTGGATAAAGATATATGCAAGGGAGTGTTATTCAGCCACAAATGAATGTAATCAAATTATATGTGCAAGAAAATAGAACTAGAAATTATGTTAAATATGATCCAAAAAGGTAAATATTATATGTTTTCTTTCTAGATTTAAAGAAAAAGACATGAAAGTAGAAGGGAGGTTATTTGTAAAGAGGGATGGGACCAGTTAGAGGGGGAGAAGAGAGGGCAGTTGGGAAGTGATAGAATCAAATACATTATGTACATGAATGAAAATGTTACACAAATCATTTTATATATATATATGTGCGTGTGTTAATAAAACTTGAAATAAAAATAGGAAAATAAAAAGGGCCTAGTCATGGGAAAACAAGTCCTAATTGCTGAACTGGGCATAGAGCTCAGTGTAAGGGAACTTGTCTGGCATATGTTACATCTGGCATCAATCTGAGCTCAGTACCACAGCAAAATACAAAATAACTTGCTGTTTTCTAACCTTTTGTGACTTACCTCCTTTGCTGGATTGTAAGCTCTGAAATTAGACACGTTTAAAGAGTAAATGTAATAAGAGAAAAACAATACAGAGAACTAGCGAGATTATTGTGGAGAAGCACTGGAGTTTAGGTGTCTTTTGTATAGCAGATTATTTTTATTAAAAGTACTTAGTGAAAGGGGAAAGCGGTGGAGCTTAAGGGCAGAACACTTGCCTAGCATGTGCTAGGCCTCATGTCTGTCTCGTCTCCATTATAGCAAGGGGGGGTAGGGTGGGAAGAGGTGATAATAAACACTGTAGGCTAGTTGGAAATATGAGGACCAACCAGAAAGTTATGTAGTTATTTTGGTAGGTTAGGATTATATACATTAGTGATTGATTGAGTCACCATGGTCACATTAAGGAGAGAAAAGCATTTCTTTCTCTTTGGGATCATTTAACTGAGAGCAAAGGCCAAATTTGAATTCTCTAATCATGCTTTCTGTATTTTCTGTCCTCTGTCTGTTGAATGAGTGGATTTGTGCCTGCCTGGAGGCTGTCTTGTAAGTTTGTCCCTGTGTTTGTGTTTTTGGTATATATGTGTGTGTGTGTGATTGTGTTTGTGTGTGTGTCTTGTGTGCTCACTTGCATCTGTCTGTATGTCTGTGTGTCTATCTTTAACAGAAGTCTTTGTTCTGTATTTACTGAACAGTACAGAAAGTATCACATGGGGAAAGAATGGGGTACTTTATAGGAATCTTTAACATAGATTTTTACAAGGGTTTACATTACTGACTCCCAGTGATTGGTACTGACCCAGGTAAGAAACTACTGCAAACACCATTGTTTATCAACCATTTCTGTAAATAGATACTCATTTTAGAAGGTTGCTTTCAACCTCAGTATTTGTTGCTTTCAGCAGAAGGGTACACATTCATTGTTCTGGGTCAGGGGCATGAAGGGTACATAATTTGCGATCATAGCTTTCCCATTAGTTTAGGCTGCAAAAGGTAAGTCACATGGGAAATCCAAGACAATTAAGGTTGACATTCCATTGTTCTCTTAAAGACAGATTAAACAAACAGGGTAAGCGCATCCTAAAATAGCAATCTTTTAGGTGACTTTCACTTTGTCTATGAAGTCCAGTAAAAGTTTCAGTCTCTTAGGATGTAAGATATTTTCATATTGCGTTGCCACAGTGGTAAAGAGGTTGTGAAATAGGAGTCATGCTTGTTTTTGTTTTGTTTTCGCGGTTATATGTATTGATTATAAAAACCTTTGTTTTCAAGGACTGTGGACTTTGAGTCTTTCCTTAACTTTTCATGATGTTTAGTCCCACATGGCGATTTTGATTGTCAGGCTAATGCTGGTGATTTACAAAATCGCCACCATTCGGTGCTGTGTGAAGATTTGTTAGGGTGGAATCAGACTCTCTAAGGATGTGCTCCTGCGAAGTGAGCACATGTGTGCCTGGTGGGATGAGCGTTAGCATGCTTACAACTGTGCTTTCCTTCCTCATGTTGCCCATTTCCTGGCATTTTTCTTTTAATTGTGAATGTTGTATCTGATGCCAGATACAACCATTTAAGTTTTCTATTTTAGGTCGTAATTTCCAAAGTTCTTTTTTAAGAAACAAGCTTTGTTATTTAAGACCTTTTTATTTTGATTATTGGTTTTACTTTACTATTAATTGTAAAATGAGAAAACAAAATATTTTGATAGCCTATTCCTTTCATCATGATTAAATTCTTCTGTTACTTTGAGTGTGACTTTGTTTGCCCTAGGTGTCCCCTTCTCTATAATGCATAAATATTTGTCTGTATTTAAAAAAAATATTACTATTCCTAGATGTCATTGATCAGAGTGAATCGCTTTGGTCCACGGGGAGGTGGAAGAAAAACTCTGAAAGTAAAGAAGAAAGCTTCAGCGAGGCAAGAATGGGATGTAAGTCTTGGGACAGTAAGTAAGGTCTTCAGGGGATGGACGCCATGGCTCTGGGCATGAATGGGATGTAAGTCTCAGGACAGTAAGTAAGGTCTTCAGGGGATGGACGCCATGGCTCTGGGCGTGAATGGGATGTAAGTCTCGGGACAGTAAGTAAGGTCTTCAGGGGATGGACGCCATGGCTCTGGGCGTGAATGGATGTAAGACTTGGGACAGTAAGTAAGGTCTTCTGGGAATGGACACCATGACTGTTGGCGTGTTGGAGTGCAGCTGTAGTAGGCTCAAGTGGGTTTCTAGATGAGTGTTTGATCTTGGAGGGAAGAGCAGGATATTTGCACCGCCTTAAGAGTACATATACTAAGGGCAGTAACCTCTCGTTCCTTCCAGGAATTAGTGTTAGTAAGACAGAAACTGTGTCTTTGGAAAAGGTCCCTCTGCAGCTTGCTGCAGTCACCACACTTTCTAGGTTGCCTCAAGGGATCCTAGTGTGTGAACATTATAGCTTCAGTTAAGTTGACTTGTTTTGAATATATGCTGTCCTATTTTAGTCCTTATTTTAAAATAAGAGAGTGCTTTATTTCCTGTATAACACTTAAAAATACGTTATTTTCTAGAAGGTATTTAAAAGTAATCTGTTTTAATGTTATAGTAACAATAATGGTTCCTAAAAGAAAGGTTTTTGGTTTTGGAACTTTGAATCAATTTACAGCTGCTAAAACTCAGTAACTATTAATAATTTATAAGGAAACATTTTAAAAGCTCTTTTTTTTTTTTTAAAGAATACTGTAAATGATCTAACAGTTCACCGGGCAACTCCTGAAGATCTGGTAAGTTTAACCCTGAAAAACTCCTGGACTCTGTGTTTTAGTTGGTGTCTGGCGTCTAGCCTTCAGAACAGAGACCACCATCCCTTCTGGAAGTTGATTAGCTTTATTTAATCTGTTCACATCTGTGTAAAACCTAAAAGTCTATCTTAAGAAATTTCTAATTTTACTGAGGCTTATTAGCTACGGTTAGAATCTTACTAAACATTTTTGGTTTAAAGTCTTACCACTTACCTAGAATTGACCTGCAGGTCTGTTTGTCTTTTCTGTCTAGAAATATCTGCAGCAATTTATCATTGCTGTTATTGTTATTTTCAAGGCAAGGCCTGTGCTGGGTAACCCTGGCTGGTCTCTCCATGGCAGTGACTAATCTACTTTCTGTCTCTTGAGATTTGCCTAGCCTTGACCTTTTTTACCCATGGAATGCAGTACATGGGCTCTTGTGTGTCGCCTCTTTTTCTAGCATATTTTAAAGATCCATCCATGTTATAGTATGTATCTCATACTACTTCATTCCTTCCTGTTGTGAAATAGGATTGATTGAATGGAGATTCCAGATTTGATTTATCTGTTAGTCAGCTGTACTGGTTTATGCTTCTCATCTATTACGAGTAATACTATTGTGAATGTTCATATACAAGTCTCTGTGAATATATGCATATGCAGGCGGTTGGGTATATCTGGAATAGAATGACTAGGTCTTGCATCTTCATATTGGACTTTATGAATAACTGCTTAATTGTTTTCCAAAGTGCTTACATGATTTAAATCCCACCAGACTGTGCTTATATTTTAATTCTCCTCGTGGGTATAAAGTACTGTCTCATTGTGATTCTGATTTGCATATTCACAATTCTTGATTGCTAGTCTTTTTGGTAGTTTGCATGTTTGCCTGATTAAAACTTCATTAGATGACCCAGGTTTTGTTCGTATTTACAGTTCTGAGCACTAGAATACTTGTAAAGGCAAATGTCTTTTATTTCTCAGTCACCCCTATGGATTCTTCCCTTCCAACTGTTTAGGTGCTCTGGCTCCTATCTCCTCTGCCTCAGGAACTCTCCTTCCCTGGATAACTGCATCATCTGTGACCTCACTTCCACATGAAGCCCCTTCAGAGCTATGCAAACAGTGCATCATTGACTTGGAAGCGATGCAGTTATCATGAAAGGGGTGTGCTTTGCCAAAGATGGCTGTGCTGGATTTGGTACCCTTTACATCATGTGTAAAGTGTCGGCATTGACCATGAATTAATGTTGTAGCACTTGTTGGATGAGTTTTAACTTGTGAATTGAAGATTGGTAGTCTATAACTGAAGTAGAAGTTAATATTTTTTTGTGGCTTTAGGTTAGACCTCTAAGTTCTAGATATTTCTCTTTTAGATCATTTTTTGAAGACTATCAAAGTTTTAGCCATGAATGTACACACATGCATGCATGCATGCACACACACACGTTGAACCTGTAAGGAATAAGAAGTTTGAACTAGTGTAAGTGGTCTTACATAGGAGCAGGCAACTTCTTTGTTCATGAAAACATTTTTTACAGTTTTTCCTTCTGTATAGGTACGCCGTCATGAGATACATAAGTCAAAGAATAGAGCATTGGTGCACTGGGAACTTCAAGAAAAAGCTTTGAAGAGAAAATGGAAGAAACAGAAACCAGAAACTTCAAATCTTGAAAAAACAAGATTATCTATCATGAAGGAGGTAGTGCAAAAATTCATTGTCTTTAGAGTTCTTGGGTTGACTTCATGAGAGACTCTAGTACATACTGCAGCCTTAACAGTGAACTGGATTTGGCAGAGAGCAGCAGGGTGGGAGGAGTCTAGTGCAGAGAGCAGCAGGGTGGGTGGAGTCTAGTGCAGAGAGCAGCAGGGTGGGTGGAGTCTAGTGCAGAGAGCAACAGGGTGGGTGGGTGGAGTCTAGTGCAGAGAGCAGGGTGGGTGGGTGGAGTCTACTGCAGAGGGCAGGGTGGGTGGGTGGAGTCTAGTGCAGAGAGCAGCAGGGTGGGTGGAGTCTAGTTTGCTGCCTTAAATGTTCTCTCCACAACTCATTAGCTCTGTAGCCTTAGATTATGTAACTCTTTGGCCTGGAATTTTTCTGTTTGTCCATTTCTCCTTCTCCCTTTTTTAAAAACTAGCTTACAAAGTAGCATGTTTCTTCTGCTGTTGTCATAATACTCAGTTGTGGATGGTTGACTCCCACCCACCTCCCCCGTTTCTCCCTTCCTCCTGTCCCACCGAATCTTCTACCTCCAGCATCCCCCTTTCGTTTTCATATCACATGTATTCTTCTCACATTTTTTCCAGGTTCATATTCTCCACCCACACTTACTCCCACTTAAATCCACATTCTTAACAATTAGAAGCAAGGGTCCACACGTGAGGGAGACATGCAGAGCTCCTTTATCTGGGCTGGGTTACCTAATTTAATAGAGCATTTTCAGTTCTAGTCATTTGTTTTTGTAAACTTTGTAGCTTCATTTTTCTTACATTAACTTGATTTTTTTAATCTTTGAAATCTTGGCTGTGTTGAAAGGCAGTGATGGGTGCATGCCTTTAATAGCACTTGGGAGGCACAGGAAGATCTCTGAGTTCGAGGATAGCCTGGTCTACAGAGTGAGTTCCAGGACAGCCAGGGCAGCTACACAGAGAAATTCTGTTTCAAAAAACAAAAACAGGGCTGGAGAGATGGCTCAGTGGTTAAGAGCATTGCCTACTCTTCCAAAGGTCATGAGTTCAATTCCCAGCAACCACATGGTGGCTCACAACCATCTGTAAAGAGGTCTGCTCTGCTGCCCTCTTCTGGTCTGCAAACACACACAGACAGAATATTGCATACAAAATAAATAGCCAGGCGGTGGTGGCGCACGCCTTTAAAAAAAAAACAAAAAAAAACAAAAAACAAAAAACAAAATACTTGGCTGTTTAGCCGGGCGGAGGTGGCGCACGCCTTTAATCCCAGGCAGAGGCAGGCGGATCTCTGGGAGTTTGAGGCCAGCCTGGTCTACAAGAGCTGGTTCCGGGACGGGCACCAAAGCTACAGAGAAACCCTGTCTCGAAAAACAAAACAAAACAAAACAAAACAAAAACAAAAAAAAAACTTGGCTGTGCTATGAATTTTAATTTTTTTGAAAAAAGATTTATGTGTATGATGTTTTGCCTTCATGTATGTCTGTGCATTGTGTGCATGCCTGGTTCTTGTGGAGGCCAGAAGAGGGTGTCAGATCCCCTAGAACTGGAGTCACAGACGGTTGTGAGCTGCCATGTGGGTGCTGAAAATTGAACCCAGGTCCTCAGGAAGAACAACCAATGCTCTTTAAAAGAGATTACCACAGTCTTTGGCAAATAGTGCTCTATATTCATAAACTGCTGTAATTATGTCTCAGTTCAACAGTATAGTAGGTTACCTAGCAAAAATGAAATAAAATTAATTTTGTGTGACTGTTGATCTAGGTCATCAGCCATTTACCTCTAGCTTAACCTTTTGCCTGCCTGGGTCTTTGAAGAAATAATCAGATATGTCTGTTGGGTAGGCTGGGAAGTTAGAAGGAACTATAGCAGAGCGACTTTTCTTTCTTTTTTGAACTGAAGTCACAGTGAAGGAATGTGCTGTGTGTGGCTTCTTGACCAGGCTAAGCTTACAGTGTGTGCTTTCTGCATGACTTTTCATGGTGGTTTTAAGTCACAGGCTGCCTTTTGAGAAATTCCTTAGAGTTCTTAGAGCAGTGGTTCTCAACCCCTTTGGGTCAACTGATCTTTCACAGGGGTAACCTAAAACCACCAGAAAACACGGATATTTACATTATGATTTATAATAATAGCAAATTTACAATTATAAAGTAGCAACGAAAATAATTGTATGGTTGGAGTCACCACAGCATAAGGAGTAGAACAGTATTAAAGGATTGCAGTATCAGGAGGGTTGAGAACCACGGTCTTACAGAAATCTTATGGATCAGGAAGAGCAGTATCTCCCAAATAAATGTTTCCATGACTTGAAAAAGGAACAGTGGTTCGGAGAAGGTGACATTGCATCTTGTGATCTTGGACCAGTCACACACATCTGATGTGTGCCAGTTCTCATTGAAAGGCCCCCAAACCACAGATCTGACCTAGAAAACTAGCCAGCCTCTTTAGGAGGGGGTCAAACTCAGGACTTTGGTTTTCTTTCACTAGTTTTAATTTCCTTTTCCTTTTCTTTTTTTAAGATTTATTTTTATTTATTTATATAGTGTTCTGCCTATATGTGTGCCTGCAGGCCAGAAGAGGGCACTACATCTCATTATGGATGGTTGTGAGCCATGTGGTTTCTGAGAATTGAACTTGGGACCTCTGGAAGAGCAGTCAGGGCTCTTAACCGCTGAACCATCTCTCCAGCCCTGTTTTCAATTTTGTCTATGAGTATTTGCCTGCATGTATGCATGTGTGTCTGTTGCCAGTGAAGGCCAGAAGAGGGTGTTAGACCCCCTGGAACATGTATGCATGTGTGTCTGTTGCCAGTGAAGGCCAGAAGAGGGTGTTAGATCCCCTGGAACATGTATGCATGTGTGTCTGGTGCCAGTGGAGGTCAGAAGAGGGTGTTGGGCCCCCAGAACTGAGTCACAGAGTTGTAAGTCACCATGTGAGTGTTGAGACTCCAGCCTGCTTCCTCAACAAGAGCCATGAGCACTCCTAGCCCCTGATAACCATGGAGCTGTCTCTCCAGTGCTCCTGACATGGGGAGAGAAGAGTACTGAGAGGATGGGTAAAGGGCCTCAGAATGCTTCCTCTGTTGTAGTGTGGAGATTCTCGGTCCTCACTGCACATGAGACGTCATCACGGCTGACACGCTCCTAAGGAAGCTAGGGAGACACTGTACCTGGACTCAGTGCTCAGAGATTCAAATTTAGTGAGTAGCTGGTGTGGACAGTTTCCTTGGCTGCCCAGGATGTTTTCCTGCATCAGAGCTACAGCTTTTGATGAGACTTAGGTGTTTTCTTTTAGTAATAGATCTCACTTAGTAAGAATAGTACAGTGATCTTTGGCCACACGAACAATCTGCTCCAAGAAATGTGACAGGCTTAGGAGAAGAGGGCAAAAGCAGTGGCTTTACTTGAGACCTGATAATAATTAATAGCCAATATCAACATGATCAGTAAGATTTTCCTTTTTCTTTCTGCCTTTGTCAGTTTCTACTGTAGCCATAGCTATGCTGATCTATTATATATTATATCTAATATACGTTATATTTACAAAGCTCTTAATTGCATGGACTTGAAAGATATTTCACGGGGCTGGAGAGATGGCTCAGAGGTTAAGAGCATTGCCTGTTCTTCCAAAGGTCCTGAGTTCAATTCCCAGCAACCACATGGTGGCTCACAACTATCTGTAATGAGGTCTGGTGCCCTCTTCTGGCCTTCAGGCACAACGCAGAAAGAATATTGTATACATAATAAATAAATAAATATTTTTTAAAAAAGAAAGATATTTCACTAAAGATGGAACTTTGGTTCATAAAATAATGTAATTTGTATTGTAGTTACATTCTAAGCAGTGATAGCATATATATGTTTTCAGTGTATGCACACCCTTCTGCCAGTCCTGTTGGGTTGAGGAGTTGCTTAGATCTCTGTTGATATGCCAGTATATTTCAGAAGACAGTAAGTAGAAATAAATTTATCTTTTTTTAAAAAATATCTAGGCAGGGTATAGTTTGCCATAACTTGTCTATTGATTGTTTTATTTGTGGACACTGATGTTGTGCATTAGAGTGTAGTTTAAACTTCTGGGAAGAATAGGACTCAAAATACTGTAATTTAAGAAAGCACAGATGTAGTTCTCTTGTGGAAGAGCTCAGCAGCAGCTGGTAGAGGCTCTGCAGTTCTTTAGCGCATGACTTAGTACAGAGTGGCTGTAAAGCGTCCTTCGGTGTGTGCAGCTCAACAGCGAGTGGGAATAGACAGTATCTGCTGTCTATTCCAGCCAGAGATTCTGGAATCGTGTCTTGTGCCCCAGAACATTATTGCATGGCCGTTCCCATAGTCAAAGAGGGGTGGGAAATTAGCTGCATCCTTGACTAAAATTTAGGAGTTGTGCTTTTAAAGGCATCACTGGGGATTAGTAGCAGAGTGTGCCACTCACAGATTGCATCTTAGTTTGCCACTATAAATAATGCAGTGGATATTGAGTATGTTTTTGGGTACAGACTTGTTTGTTGATGAATTATTGACAGAAGTACTAAGTCAAGGGCTTTAGCTCAGTATTAGAGCTCTTACTTAAGATGTTTTAGGGATTAATCCCAAATATTGGGAATAAAAAAAAAGAAAAAAGTAAGAGTCAAAGAGTATGTACATCTTTGGTTTTAGTTACTAAGTTTTTCTGTTTATGGTGTCTGTATCTAAAGAATGTGATAGGGCCATAGGCAAATCCATGATGCAGTGGGACAGTATGGTTGTCACCATACTAGAAAAGTTGTAGCATGACTAATAAAAACTCAGAGACAGAAATTGGGCTTCAACCTGAAGGTCAGAAAAACAAAGCAGCTAGCCACTGGCTCTTACCTCAACCTCAGTCTGAAAATGGCGATCTTGCCTACAGGAAACCTCAGAATGAGACTGAGCCTGAGAGCTGTCTCTTCCCATACAATCCTCTCCAGGACTGGGATTAAGGGTGTGCACCACTAATACCTGGTTTCTGTGGCAAGCTAGTGTGGCTACTGGGATAAAAGATGTGTGTCATTGCTGCCTGGTCTGTAAGGCTGGCCAGTGTGGCTGTTTAGCTTTTCTGATCTTCAGGAAAGCTTTATTTACTAAAATACAAACGAAATGCCACTACAAAAAATTATACTAGAACAAATGGAATAAAATTTAAACATTTCCTAGTGGTAATTTGAAGAGTTTACGACTTTTTGTTTTTAAGACATTATCCTCTGTCAGAATAAAGAACTGACAGAAAGTGGAGGAATGTTCTCATTAATAACCACCTGGGGGCCAGAGAGACGGCTCAGCCATTAAAGGCTAGGCTTACAACCAAAAATAACCACATTGATGCCTGGTGTTAATTATAATGAGATCTCAAATAAAACCCATGCTGTGTACCATTGACACAGTAGGAAACTAAGTTTAAAGAAGTTGGGGTTTGTTTACTATTTCTGGTGTGGACCTCGAACCCAGTATTCTACACCATGTGTGCTCTTGGCCTTGTGCAGTTAGTTCTATAGTTTACTCTGGAAGGAGCTAATTCAGTACTTACTGTCAGTAACTGACCTAGCTGACCCAGTTGGCCATAGCAGCAGAAAGGATAACATAAGAATGCAGCTCACTTTTCTCTTTGTATCTTAAGATAGTAATTGATGCCATTATTTCTGTGTTATAGGGAAAATCTAGGCAGAGTGCTTGTTATTAGATGCTGATTTGAGTCAGTGTTCCAAATGGAGTTGTCTTGATTTTAATATTCTTTTCAGCTTAAGAATGACATCTGGTGGTGGTAGATAGAATTGACTCCTCTTTAGCACATGACTTCGCTTATATGTATATTAGTCCTTCAAAAGAAAGTGCGTAATCAGAGGCACGACTGTAATGGTGCTTTCCTGTAGCCATCTCTCTATGATAAATCTCCACCTTGTTTACAAATACCTAAGCATAACAGTCTTTGTTTAATCCTTAAACCTATACCTTGTTTTTTAAGTCACAGACCATGTATGACCTGTTAATGGAGCATCAGAGTACTTCAGTGATGGGAATACCTTTGAGTTAATGGCTCAAAGATTCTTATTGTTAATCTGTGTTTTTTAAACTGTGTATTATTATTTACTAATGGGTTATGAAATTAAGTAAGTGGGCGATAGCCATCACTTAAAACTAGAATGGAATACAACTTAAAGTCATTCTCATGTGGAAATCCTATGTAAAAGTCTCACTTTAAGAAGTGTGTGTGTCTTGGGAGAGCAGGCCCTTCACCTCTCCTGGGTAGCATAGGAGGCCCTATTGGTGGAGATGTGGATGAGCCAGCCCCAAAGCTGTGAGTGTGGGAGAGCTGTCCCTAGTACTCATCTGTCATGTGCTGGTGTGGAAGATGTGTCCTCCCTACCCTTCACCCCTAGCTGCCAGTGCCAGGTGAGGGAGCGGACCCTTCCCTTTACCAGCTGCATTCAGGACAGCAGGCCTTGCTGCTCACCTGGGCAGCTCACTGGAGCTGACCCTACTGACCGGAGATGTGGCCCCGCCCCTCATCTGTGATAAGGAATGGTTGGGGAGAGACCCTCTTCCCCTCACTGCTTATGACAGGAGGGAGAACTGGGTCTGTGGTCATAAGAGTATGAGTGTTGTCCCTGCCCCTCACCAGCTACAACACTCGGGAGAGTGGCCTCCTCACCTCACCTGGGCAGCACACTGGAGCTGGCCCTGATGGTCCAGGTGTGAGAGAGCCAGCCCTGAGGGCATGTGAAAGCAAGCAAACTGGCCCCTCCCCTTGCTCCCTGCTGTAAGGGGTGAACTAGCCAGGGCAGTGCTGGAGAGCTCACCCTGGTGCTGAGGAGAGAGAATGGGGGAGGGAAGGGGGAGAGGGTGGCAGGCTGGCCAACCCTGCAACTACCCAGGCCCAGAACCAGGGTATGAATGTTGATCTACCCAACAATGATCTGCTGGAACACATGAAGGGATCGGTCCTGTAGACCCAAAACTGCAGGGTTTCCACAACATAGGGCAACAACAGGATATCCAAGCAGAGTCCCAGTGAGGCCCAGACAGTGTAGCAGAAGCCAGAGGCCTCAAACCAGACCAATGACTCTTTACAAGAACACTTGCAAGTAAAGATACATGGAAAAAAGGGTTTATTGTGTGACTCACTGTGTCACATTGCAGCTTCCATGACAAGATTTTTCCCTTTTTCCTCTTAAATTTTATTTTTTTTGGGGGGGAGTGCAAGGACAGAGGTTGGATACAAAGGGTTGGGGAAATTAATGGGATCAAGACACATGATGTAAAAGATGCAAAGAATCGAAAGAAAGTTTAAAAAGTGTGTGCTGTGTGGCTTGAGTGTGTGCATGCATGTGTGTGAGTGTATATGGGCGTGAGTGTATATGGGCGTGAGTGTGCATGTATGAGTATATATGCATGTGTGAGTGCGTGTGCCATATGCGTATCAGAGCACAATGTAATATATTTTCTTTGAAGCTACTGACTACTGTAATAGCTCCATCTACTAATATCTAATGGATATTGCTATTGGAGGGTTTTAGAATGGTCATGGCCCATGGTTAAGAACAAATCCAGCAACCACAACCAATAAAGGTTGATATTTAAGCTTTGAAAACATCGTGTTCAATGCCTTCCCTTAGTCCTTTTCCTTAATGATTTTAAAGTAAATGTATTTCCTCTGAACAGTATTTTTCTCAACATGTGTGTAGATTCTTTCTGATCAGTACCAGGCGCAGGATGTGCTGGAGAAGTCCGATCATCTGATAGCCGCAGCCAAAGGTCTGTTTGTTGATGCTCCTCGTAAGCGCACAGGTGAGCGATCACTCCTCAAACCTGCTCTTCTGTCTTAAACTCAGCTTGTGATTAGAAGAATCCAGCCTGTTCCTGCTACATGTTCTAGCTAACTAGTATCTGAAGATTATTAGGGCTAGAGCCATAATTTGTTTGTTCTTCACTAGGAATATGAAGTATTACAAATTATTCATCTAAGGAATTATCCATTGACATATGGTATAAAATAGAGTATTTTGTAACTACAAAACATGGCTTAATTTTCAGTTTATTAGATTGCCACATAATTAAAGCATGTATTTACTTGTAGTTTGAATAAGCTTAACTTAAACTCCAAAGCAACTTCAGTTTCTTGCTCAAAGAAACTTTGCTTTTCTTTAGTTACATAGGATTATCACCTACCGCCCCTGGCCCTCAGGGTCCATGTAGCCAAGACTGGCTTTGAACTCGTGATCTTCCTGCCTCTTAACTCCTGAGTGCTGGCATTATAGGCATGTACCACCATTCTCAGCTTCAACATTATATCATAATCTGTATATAACTTGTTTAATCTTTCAGAAACACATGATTTATTTTTAGGAGAGAGTTTGAATTCCGGGTCAGCCATTTATTAGAGTAACTCTGGGCTACTCACTTAATTTCTCCAAGTTCCAGTTTACTGATCTGTAAAATAGTAGACTATGTCTCATGGAATGTTGTGAAGGTAAAAATGAGTTTAGATATGCGTTCGGTTCATGTCCATACATGTAAGTGGAGCTGCTCTTTGAGAGTGCCGTGAAGTGAAGGGAACCTGTGGCAGAACAGAACTTGCGAAGCCTGTTTAGGCAGATGCAATAAATCATAATGACTTGTGTTCCTTCTGCAGGGTTTCCAAATGTAACCATGGCTCCTGATTCCTCTCAGAGTCCCATTGGAGTGATTCAAGACCCTGTCGCCCAGACCACCCTTAATGAATCTCTCATAGAGCCTCAGGTAATGCATTGCACTCCCAGCCTTTGCTGAAATGGAGTTCAGTTTGATCTAGGCATCGTGGTAAGCATTTTAAATGCTTAAACGTCACCTTGCCCTGTCAGCTATAAAGAGATAGTAGGAAAAGAAAATTGACAAAGGAGATTGGGAAGACAACCTTGGTGTCATCCTTTGAGACAGGGTCTCTCATTGGTCTGGAAGTGAACAACTAAGCCTAGACTGGCTGGCAAGGAACCCCCGGGATCTCCCTGTCTCTGCCTCTACAGTGCTGAGATTAAAAGCATGAACTGCCGTGCCTGGCCCTTTATTGTGAGTGTATTGGGTCTTGGACTAAATTTCTCATGCATATATAATCCTATCCACCATAGAGGTGGGAAACTTGTGTAGGGCTGGGCAGCAGAAACTTATGTTCCTGAGTCTGTCTTGTTTGATTCGCGTTCTGAGACAGGCTCACTCTGCTGCCTACCCTCCTGCCACAGCCTCCCCAGTACTGGGGTGACTGGTGTGTGCCGCCAGTTCCCCTATTATTGCCACTAAAAAAACCCAACACCCCAGGGGGCTGGAGAGATGACTCAGTGGTTAAGAGCACTGACTGCTCTTCCAGAGGTCCTGAGTTCGATTCCCAGCAACCACATGGTGGCTAACAATCATCTGTAATGAGATCTGGCGCCCTCCTCTGGCGTGCAGGCATACATGGAGGCAGAATGTTTATACATAATAAATAAATAAATCTAAAAAAAAAAAGTGGGAAACTTGTGATGGGTAAGGTATAATGAGTCAGAGAAGGAAAGGGAAAGATGGAATTGTCTTTTTAGGAATAAGTGTGCTGACACTGACCTTGCAGAAAGCATTTTGAGTGGAGTGGCAGGACACAGGCAAAGGTGCAGAGCATAGATGGTGCATGCAAAAAGGGAAACGATTCCTTAAAGAGAGTGTGCTGCCAGTGTTGCTAGCACTAGACAACTAAAACAGAAGCAAGTGTGAATTTGGGGCCAGCCTCAGGTATGTAACAGATTGACTTAGCCTAAGCTAAACAAAAACAAAAGATGAACAGGAGATAGTATCTCAGGGTGGTCCCAGGTTTAGTTTTAAGAAGGGAAAGGTTTTCTTACATTTAAATACTGACAGCTGAAGGGAGCAAGAGCCGCTAACGATGTTAGAAGGACTATTATTAGGGGAAGACCTGAGACACTTTGGTATTTAGCACACATTTCAAGGGTTAGCCTTAGGAGGAGAAATTTCTATTATAACAAAAGGATGAGTGAGCATCTAATCAAGTTGTGCTGCTGGTTTTATGTTGAGATAGGCTCTTAATGAAGTAGATGATGGAGAAGAGAGCACTGCTCACAGCCAGTCCGAAGACAGTGAGAGCGAACTGCCTAACTCCCTGAGCTCGCAGTCTAACAGGAACACAGAGAGGTATGTGGGTGTGCATTTGGCTCTCAAGAGGAGGCGGTACATGCCATGAGAAGTCATCTAGGCATGCCAGCATGTATTTTGTTATTTATTTTTGAGGCAGGATCTCTCTATGTAGTCATCCTAACTGTCCTAGAACTCACTTTGTAGACCTGGCTGTCCTTGAACTCACAGAGATCTGCCTGCCTCTGCCTCCTAAGTGCTGGGATTGAAGATGTATGTCACCATACTTGACTTTTCTACAAATTTTCTTAAATTTAGGGTGTTCTTGCTGGGCAGTGGTGTCATATGCCGCTAATTCCAGCACTTGGGAGGCAGAGGCAAGTGGATCTTTGAGTTCTAGGCCAGGCTGGTCTACAGAGCTAGTTCTAGGACAGCCAAGACTACAAAAGGACACCTGGTCTCAAAAAACAAAGAAACAAAACAAAACAAAAAATTAGGGTGTTCTCAAAAATTTTAGTTTATTTTTATATGAAAATTAGTATCAACTTATTCAACTTTATAAAGCTTATTGATATTTTGTGTTAGGACATAATGTTCCCCCTTTGTTCATCTGTATGGATTTTTTTTAGTTTTTTTGAGGAGTGTTTTAACATTTTTCTTATGTAGGGCTTATTTATTTCTTGCTCAGCTTATCCTTTTATTTGTTTCTTTTAAATGGAATTTTTTATTTTACTACATCTTGTTTTTCCCTGTGTGGTTGGGGAATTGAGGGCCTTGTGGGAGGTACCCTTTCCTGATCTTCGTCATAGGCACCCTTCCTTATACCTTCCAGACTGTTGGTATTCATGTTTCTACAGGCCCATAATTTCTGCTTCTTACCTCAGTGTCCAGCTATCTCACTGGATCTTAGTGAAGTGAGTTCTAGAAGCAGTTCTCCAGCTTCTGGGTTTAGCATTATGTCACCTCCAAAGGTCTGTGTCTTACACCTCCTCTTTTTAGTATATTACTTATAGGACTGTGTGAATTAGTAGGCGTCTCTGCTGTGTTCTTTATCTTTTAACAATATGCTTATTTTGGTAGGGTGTGTGTGGGCTTGTGCACCGGACCCTCCCCATCATTTCTTTTGGTTGACCTCTCTTAAGATTGCATTGGTTAATAGTCCATTTTCTTAGTTTTTCAAAGAATTGGGCTCCTGGCTTATTAACCTGAGCTAATGTGTTTATTTCTTCTGTCTCAGTTTTCCCTCTTACCTTTTTTCCTTTGTGCTTTATTTTGTTGCTTCTTGATTTAGGGTTGTAGTATTTTTTTTCAGATGACAAAAATAAATGGATTATTTTAGAAACGAAATCATTTTAGTTGATTTTTCTGCTTTTCCCTGAGAGTTGCCTATACTTATATAATTAAAGATAAAACAAAACAAAACTGCGGACCCTCCCTGTCATTTCTAGTGTAACCACACTGTGTTCAGGCTGTGGTCTGTCATCTCTCTTCTTGTGGAACCTGGTGATGCTTTCTTTATGAGCTATCTGTGATCACATTGCAGTGAGTATTCCGTGTGTGCGCTTGAGAAGTGGCTGTGGTTGTATTGGAAGGTAGAACATTCTGTGTGTGCATCATAGCACCAGCCTTGCTGAATGTTGTATCTCTTCTGTCTCCTTAGTTCATTTTGCTGTATTATGTACCAAGAATGTTATATTAAAGACTCCTAGTTTTAGTGTGCTTCTGTTTTTCTTCATATTTCTTGTTTTAGTGTACTTAGTTGAAGTTTAATACATTTTCTGTGACACTGCTATACTTATAGAACATGTATGTCTATAAATGCTGTATCTTTATTTTGAGCAATGGCTTTTAGCATTGTAATCTCCATTGTCATGTTAAATGCCTTTTGGTCCAATCTCTGTTGTCTGAGATTGGGAATAAAACCTCTACTTCTTGTTTCTGATTGTCTCCGTTATCTTTGCGTTTTACATACAGTCATTTATATTTAGCCTTTTGCAATTATTTTTTATTCCTGTGCTCCTTGTATTCAGTGGAGAGTGTGTACGGCCTTACGAATCAATTTGGAAATTCTGGTTGGTGAAGAAAGCTTGTAACACCAGTTGATACAGTTGATGTGTTAGATGTCAAATTTGCCATATTCTCTCTTAGGACTGTGCATTGCACTGTAGCTATTGCTTTTCCTTTTTGTTGTTGGTTTGATCTTACTATAAAACTCAGGCTGGCCTCAAACTGTCAACTTAGGCCTTAACCTCCTACCTGCGAGGACTGCAGGCTTGCACACTGTTTTTTTTCTACGTATTTATTGTTGTTCTTTAAAAGTCTTGGTATTTAGGAAGATTGTAGATGGCTGCTTTTGTGTATGAACCTTTTTATGGGTCTGCTTATTACTGTTCTTACTTATTCTTTGCTGTTAGCCATGTGCTTTCTTGATTTTCCTTTGCACGTTGACTATTCAACTGAGTTGTTCTGCATTTCTCCCCGTGTTGTAGTTGTTGCATCCTTAGTTTTGAACTGACAGAGCATAAAGCATTGCACACTGTGCTTTCCTATGTATCTTGATTCTGTATCCTACAGCCATGAAATAATTAAGTGATCATCCAGTCCTTTCATGTTTTCTTAATTGTCTTATAGTTGAATCTTATTTAGTTAAAGCCCATGCTGTTGGGCCTGTGAATAGAATGTTCCTTGAATTCCTTAGACATTTTTAATCCCTTCCCCCTTTTTTTCCCTCATAGAATACATCCTGTTTACGGATTCTCCTCCCTCCACTCCTCCCAACTGGATCCACTCTCTTTCTGTCTCTCATTAGGAAACAAACAGTCTTCTAAGAGATAATAATACAATTGTTATAAATTATAATATATTATAGTATATATAATTTAAATACAAAATATGTACTGTATAAAATATAATAAGATTAAAAAAAACAATACATCGATTTGGGCAAAGGAAACAGAAAGAAAAGAGCTCACGTTTATAGCTGGCTACCTTTATCAGCTTATTCCTCTCTGTAGGATTTTAGGGGTCTGGCACCAATTCTTTACTTCATCCTATCAGTCCACGCTGGAGATATTTCTGCTGTTAAAACATTCTTAAGAGCTTTTGTAGATGGTTGTGTTTTACTTAATATACAAGAATCCTCACAGATCTTTCTTGGATACTCTCTTTTCTTGCCCTGGCTTCTGCTGAGATCACTGAGGCAATCCAAAGATTGTATCTTTCCCTTTAGAACTAGCCGACACGTGGCAGCTCACATACCTTCTTCTCGGAGCTTACTTTCTAAGCAGCAGTTCTGCTAATTTTGAGATCTGCAGGCCCAACCATTTCTCAATTTCAAGTCCTAATTACTTATTCTTCTTTTCAGTGCTGGGGATTGAGTTTGGAGCCTCAAGCTTACTAGGCAAGCACTCCACTACTGAGCTGATGCTTAACCCTGAATCATTTTGCTCAACAGTCTGTCCTCAGGTTTTCTCTTTCCTTAGGTTGTAAGCTTTTAGCTCTTTGTTGTTGTTGGTTTTTTTCTTTTTTCTTTGCAATCTCAGCAGCTTAACTTCTTGATTTATCACTTACAAAGTTCCGCTTTGTATGCCGCTCCACTAAGCTTTCTGCCACCTTACGCACTGGCTGGTTTCCAGTTTCTAGCAGCAGGCTGTTATGTGTCCTTTGGACTTTAGAAGTCCATTGACAATCATTTTTCTGTCAACTTTCTCTTTACAACATAGGAATTCTCTGTCAGGTTGGGGCTTCTCTACAATGCACCTCTTCCTGTGTCTTCATTGGAGGAGTTACTAACATCCCCATTTCTGCCAATTGTTCATTTATGACAATGTAGGCTACTTCTGTCATTCACCTAAAAATTCTTCAAGGCTTAGCCCTAAACTACTACTTCCGAGCTGTGTCTACATTAGCACACTACTCAAGTCCACAGTCTGTATTAGTTTTCTCACGATACTGTAACAAATTAACAAAACTTGGCAGCTTAAGATGATACAAATTCGTTGTCTGTAGGTTAGAAATCTGGAATATGTCTCAATAGGTTGAAATCAAGTGTGTTTAGAGACATTCCACCCCCAGGGAGAGTCCCAGAGGAGAATCTCTTGGTTTCTTTTTCTCCTCTGGTTGTGTTGACAGTCCCCCACTGTGGCTACCTCACTCCAGTCTGCCGCCATCTTCACGCTGTGGAGACTCTCTGTGGATGCACATGTTCAACAATTAGGGCACTCCTTAGTAGTCTAGGAAAGGACCCTCTCTCATGCTCTTTAACTTGACCACATCTGCAAAGTCCCCCTTTTTAGTGTGGTAAGATAGTACTCATGGTTTGTGGGTGTCTTTTGGCAGGCCATCTTTTAGCGTACCGATGATATGGCATTCTTTTTGTAGTTACTGTGTAGCCTGACTCCTGGAAGCATGGATGGCGGAGATGGTAATGTAAATATGAGATTGTGGTGTTTATTTGTCCAGATTGTTGAGCGGCCTTCTTGAGCTTCTTCCTAAAGGTTGAACTTAAAGCTGGTGTTATCTTAAAGAGGGCGTTTTCTTGTCATCCGTCCTCTTTGTATATCATGACTCTTTTTGCTAGATACACTTTTAGTAAATGGTTTTCTAATGTGCTACTTAGAGTTTACTTGAAATTGCGATTTATAGAGTGGCTTAATGAAATTAAATTATCTGTTTCCTCTTTAATTTTGTAACAGTTTATAGTTCATAGATACATAGCCTGTTCATTTATAACATAATTATTTTAAAAAATACATTAACAGTCATTTGGTCACAACTGCCATCAATTTTAGGATATTTTCATCACTTCAGAAAGAAAACACATTTCCTCCCAACCCTTTCAGCACTGGATAATTATTACTAATATATTACTGCTCTATAGGTCTGCCTATTTAGACATGTCATCTACTGTCTTTTGTGCCTGGTGTCTTTCATATTGTAGTCTATAGCAATGCTTCATTCCTTTCTCTGGCTGAGTACTATTCCACTGAATAGCTACACCACATTTTACACATGCATTCATTAGCTGGTAGATATTTACTTGTTTCTATTTTTTATCTTCCCACTTCTTTGTTTTTTTTTTTTTTTTTTTTTTTTTTTTGGTTTTTCGAGACAGGGTTTCTCTGTGGTTTTGGAGCCTGTCCTGGAACTAGCTCTTGTAGACCAGGCTGGTCTCGAACTCACAGAGATCCGCCTGCCTCTGCCTCCCGAGTGCTGGGATTAAAGGCGTGCGCCACCACCGCCCGGCATCTTCCCACTTCTTAAACCTCAATTCAAGTCAGAAATAAAATATTTTTCATTGTTAGTGGCGAGAATGTAGAAAAGGCTGAGGTCTGTCATGAAAGGGCTTTCAAGTACGAAATCCCTAAGCATCTCTTCTGACTCCTGCCCGTCTCTGGTGTAAAGCACTTGCTTCAATATGAGCACACTGTCTGCGGTGCAGACTGGGTCTCTTGAAGGGAAGAGAAGCGACAGTGCGCAGAATCACATATGCATAATTACTTTAGAGAAGAAAGAAGGGCGAGACTATACAACACTACTAAAAAGGGGCTGGGGGCATAGAAACTGAAAGACAGATGGATTGATTTCTTCCCTAAGATATGGGGCCTTTTTGCTTCCTACCTGTCTGTATTAGCTTTGTTCTGTTGCCATGATAAAAGCCAGACAAAAGCAGCCTGAGGATACAGTCCATTACAGTAGGGAGGCATGGCGGCAGGAGCAGGAGGCCAGCCTGTCACAGTGTGTTGGCAGTCTGGAAGTAGAGAGAGTGAGGAAGGAGTGAGGCCGAGCTATAAAAACTTCACCCTCAAGCCTCACCCCCAGTGACAGATGTCCTCCTGCAAGGTTACCTCTCTCTAAAGATTCCATAACTTCCCCAAACAGTACCACTGGCTGGGACCAAAGTGTTTGAATGTGTAAGTCTATAGGGTACATTTCTTATTCAGTCACAATATTGCCAGCTAAAGTCAATAAAAATAACATGAGGGCTGGCTTGTTTGTTGTTGGGGTTTTTGTCCTACCTGGTACCCCACAACTGTTTAGCCCCAAAGAAAATCATACATAGGTCTCCATAAATTATAAGCTGATTGGCCCATTAGCTCTAGCCTCTCACTGGCTAACTCTCACATCTTGATTAACCCATTTTTCTGATCTGTGTTAGCCATGTGCCTCAGTACCTTTTTTCAGCGGGGCAGATCACATCCTGCTGCTTCGGTGGTCTAGGCAGGAGTGGGAGGAATCAGCTTCCTCCTTCCCAGAATTCTCCTGTTCTCCTTGCATCATTTCTACTTCCTGTTTGGTTTTCCCACCTAAACTTCCTGCCTGGCCAATCAGACATGATTGACAGATTACAGACAATTCTCCCACACCAAATAAAATTGTTTATTTGTGAATTGATAAAAACTTTCAAATAAAGCACATATGCATGTGGGCAGTTTAAATGATAGCACCTGTTCTAATTGTCCCATACTTTATAGGTTTCTTCATCAACTAAAGGAAGAGAATTCTGAGTTAATCAATCAATTGTGGACTGATATTCAGCAGAAAATCGCTACCCAGTCACAGAGAACCCCTCCAGGAACCCCGTCCTCGGTGCTCTCAGCGGAGGAACAGAAAGGCTAGTTGTTCTTTTGTAGTATTTCTGGTAGCAAACTTTCTTAGGTTTTATCTGTTTGTTTTGAACACAATAATTTTCAAATGCTACTTTTGGAGTCTTTACACATTTATTAAAATCCTGATGAATCTTTTGGTGGGAATGTTTGTAGAGAAAACTTGCATTCCCTTGAAATGCTTCCTCCTATGTTCTCCTTGTCCAGCTGCTCTGAATGCGACCGATGCTGTCAAGAGAATCCAGGCTGGGCTTCAGCCCGAGGAGTCTGTGGAGACTGTAGACTCCAGCTATACGGTGGGACAAGTGCTGAACTCAAGGAAGCAAAAGCAGCTGCTAAATAAAGGTCCACATTTTCTCAGTTTACAATGACGAATTGTTAAACACACATCCTGTTAAAGCTTTATTCATCACCCAGTGAATATTTTTTCCTGAAGCTCATCCAATTGGATATATTTAAGTATGAGTTTGCCGAGGGAAAACCAAGAAATCCTTTCTGTCCCACATAATGTGTGAGAGAGTTATAGTATGTTAGCTATCAATAATGTAAACTTTGTTTCAACACTGTAGGTTTTTATTATAAAACTGTGGTAACTTCTAACTTTCTGAATGGTGAACAACTAAATGTTTTCTTGGTAGTTTTGTAGTTGTGGTTTTCCTGGTTTTGAAATAGAATGGCTTTGTCGTTCTCAGTGAAAAGAAAACCAGATATGCGGACTCTTTCCAAGCAGAAGAAAAACATGTTATCCTCCAGCACAACCTCCACAGACTTGCCAAGTAACAACTCCAGCCTGGATGTCCTCAAACACATGATACATGAAGTGGAACATGAAATGGAAGAATATGAGCGGTGGACAGGGCGTGAGGTCAAGGGGCTGCAGGGTGGTCAGGGGCTCACAGGCTTCACTCTGTCCCTGGTAAGCTCTCTCTGCCGCCTGGTCCGGTACCTTAAAGAGGTAAGAATACAAGGTTATGTGAATCTTCTCTTCAGGCTGAATACATGGGAATGTTTTTTTTCTTGCTTCATAATAAGTAAAGTTAAATTTGAATAGTTTTATTTTACTCAGTGTTAATTTATCTACAATAAAATTTATGGTTGTAGTCTCTCTCTATCATTTGACACCTGCTTAGGTAAATTATTCTGATCTTAGTTTAAACTTTAGAAAAAATGTAATTAGTAGGAAAAATCTGCTATAAATAACGTAATATATTATGCTAGTTGCAAGTATTACTATTAGTGCATTTTGGTTTAAATAGCACTGTTAACTGTATCTTTGTTGTGTTGCTTTCCTTTGCTGACGGCTCCTATATTAGCTCCCATATTAGTCTAGAGAGTTGCTTTGCTGTGATCTGTAAGTTTTATAGGTGAGAAAACTGCTCATGATCTCTGTAGACTGGGAGTTGTCTAAGTGGAAGATGTCTTATTATTGTGACAATAACTTGTAGAATAAAGAATTGTTTGCTTATAAATGATAATTGGTCCTTGTTTGGTATAGAATTAGTAGGATGTTTAATTTTCTATAAATCTACTTAAGGAGCTGGGGTGATAGCTCAGTTGCTACAGTGTTTGCTTTGACAGCATAGAACTTGAGTTTAGTCCCCAAAGCCCTTGTAAACAAAATTCTGGGTGTGGTGGTGCTTGCTTGTCCCAGTATTGGGAAGTGAAGACAGTATCCCTGGGGCTCGTTAACCAGCCAGACCAGCTAGCCTAATGGTGAGCTCTAGGTCAGGGAGAGACACTGTATTTCTGAGAATGGATGCACACCCTCATACACATTAAAAATCTACATACAGTTTATTTACTATGTACTTAAATCTGTTGAACAAATATGACAAAAATGTTTAAGAGAATTTTATTTAAGCAATAGTTGTATTTCTGTAATTTACATGTCATCTGCCTGTGTTTTTTTAAAACTGCCTTGTGATGAAAACATTGTGCTGTCAGACATGCGAAGGTGTTTTCAATAGATCTTTATCCTGAGATTATTTCATTCTTTCCTTCATGTGCCTTTTATGATGTGAATGATATTGTAGTTAATGGATTTCTTTCCCCCTTTATCTTTATTCGGCTTGTTTGACGATTTCATTCGCATACATAGTACATTCTGATTACTGTCACCCCCGTCCTCTCCTGTTTCCCTCCCACTCCTGTTATCCTCCACCTCTCAGCATCCTTTCCCCTTCAGCCTGTAGTCCTGAAAAGTACGCTAGTGCTTAGAAAGCATTGCAGGCTTGGTAATAGTTGGCTTTTTAGCTATTCACTTGCTTTTAAAGCTATGACATTTAATAGTAGAAATAGTCAATATAGTTGAATGTGCTTGTTTTAAGTTATATTTAACTATCAATTTTTGATTGGCAGTATATCACACAGCATAAAATTCAAAGATACAGAAGTACTAATTTTCATAACTTGTAACTAACCTGTTTGTTTCTTTGTAACCTACTATTATGGCCAGAAATAATGTATCTTTTTAGAGATGGTCTGTGTATTCAAACAGTATTTATGCACAGCCCTTCACTTTTTAAATGAAAAAATATAGTTCCTTAATTTAATATACCATTTATAAAATGTGTTACACAAAAAGGTTCATTTTTATTAGTTAAATAGAGCCTTCTAATGAAAGTTAAATTAAATCTCATCATTGCCATGGTTCATGCTTCTCTGTAATTATCTTTGCTATCTTTGTAGAAATAAAGTTTTCAGTATGTGATCCTACTGGTAGGAGCTTTTTTTGTGTGTTTTGTAGAGTGAGATTCAACTTCGGAAAGAAGTAGAGACAAGGCAGCAGCTGGAACAGATGTTAGGTGATCACCGAGAGCTCATTGATGCTCTGACAGCTGAGATTCTCCTCCTCCGAGAAGAACACAGTGCCACACAGGTATTCACATGCTCTCCCAGTGGTCCATGTTTAGTAGTGAGCATGTCTGTGTGTCTGCAGGGTTCTCAGAGAAGAACACAGTGCCACACAGGTATTCACATGCTCTCCCAGTGGTCCATGTTTAGTAGTGAGCATGTCTGTGTGTCTGCAGGGTTCTCAGAGAAGAACACAGTGCCACACAGGTATTCACATGCTCTCCCAGTGGTCCATGTTTAGTAGTGAGCATGTCTGTGTGTCTGCAGGGTTCTCAGAGAAGAACACAGTGCCACACAGGTATTCACATGCTCTCCCAGTGGTCCATGTTTAGTAGTGAGCATGTCTGTATGCACAAAGGTTTCTCCTGGAGCTGCTGCTGTTTTGGCTGTGCTGATGCTGTTACCGGTCAGGCTCAGCAGCAGCAGTGAGTGTTGATGGCATTTGTTATGCCATGATCCCATATTTGAAACTTAAACTGCACATTGTATGTAGGATAAGTTTGCTATTTCTAAGAAATATGCCATGGAGTGGAGATAACAGGCCATTCATACAAAAGTGAAAGAGTGTTCTGGTAGCCAGTTGTCATTTTAGAGGATAGCTTAGCCTTTAAGCCCTTCTGCGGTGACATCAGATGCTACTCGTGATTGTTTTCAGCAACTTCATATTTGACTTGCTGCTTGACTAATTGCTCAAAAAAAAAAAAAGAGCATACAATATCTTTTCTAGAAAACTGACGTCTTGCATGCTTTTTATAGTATGTATGTGTGTGTGTTATGTGACAAGTACGGAGGTTATTGTTGGGGTCAGCCGCAGTTACTCTTTATCTTAGTTTTTGGGGCCACTTTCTCAGGAAGGTGGAGCTCAGCAGTTTGTCCACACTCTGGCCAGTGACTCTACCTGCTCACCTGCCTCTGTGCTCCCAGCACTGGGGTTAGAAACACACACGGCCATATCGTGCATTTAACTTTGGTGCTGGGGATTTGAACTCAGGCCCTCTTGTTTGTGTGGCAAGCACTTTCCTGACTGAGCCACCTGCCTAGCCCCCTAAGCAGTCTTCCTCTGCATACTTTTGGTGCATTTGGATGTTGTGTTATTGAATATACTTGCTTATGTTATTTGTATGTCAGTCATCATCACAGACTGCTGCTTGAGAACACAAGTTCTGTTCATCTTGTTGTTGTGGGTAGCGGATACTTGCAGAGTGCTAGAAGGACACCGAGGCAGAGGTCTTGAGGTAAAGTGTAACGGGCTTCACAGTCCTCAAGGATGCGTGTGGAGGAAGTGAAGTGCAGAGAGCAGAGAGAGGACTGGGTATGTGCCTCACACAGGCAAATGAAATGGGGATCACTGGAGAGAAGAGTCCTTAGGCTCATCTGGGCTACTGTGCCTGCACTGTGCTGTGTGGGACAACGGCCAGAGTGCTGCCTTTGTTGGCTAACTTAGTGTCAGGTTCTAACAACTGTTTGGATTGTTTGAACAATGATATACTTAATATATATATAAATGCTTAATATATATGTAAGTAGAAATATATATTATGTACATTATATTATATAATATGGAATGTACTATATATTTATATAGCAATATATTATATAATGTATGATATATAATTGTATGTAATATATAAGTAGAAATATGTAAGTAGAAATAGTCATACATTTACTTTGTTGACAAATGACTACAATTATTTATCAATGAGATACGTGTACCTTCCCCATACTGTTTAACTATCCTAAGTTTAGAGTTATATTGAACATCATTGTCCTTATTTCTTATTCCACACTGTTTCTACCAAGAACTTATGTTTTTATTGTCTTATTGTTTTTATGTGTGTGTGTGTTACTTATCTAGGGTATTTTATTTAGCACTATCCATTTTCTTGCAAATGATATGACTTCATTCTTTGAAGCTGAATAATGTGCCATTGTATATATGTCATAGTTCATTATCTGCTCATCTGAACTTATATTTTTAACATAGGTGCTTCCAGAAATCCAGCCATGAGCAGATCTGATTATTTTTGGTTGGCTTCCCTGTTATTTTTTGAGAGTGGGTCTGACTATATAGTATAATGCAGCCTTGACTTTGTGACCCTCCTATCTCAGTTTGTTATATGCTAAAATTGCAGGTGTGCGCTGCCATGCCTGTCTAAGCAGATTTGATATTACCAAAAAGAATATACCGAAATCCCATTTAGCTGAGCTGCTGCTGGTCAATAGTTGCACAGACTAATTCTGCATAGACGATGTCTTTACTGGTGTCTCCCGAGAGTTGAAGCCGTCCTCTGGTGCCCCTATGTAATCATTGCTGTTTCAGACTGCAGTATGAGGACAGAAGTAGGAAAGGTAGCAGACCATTAAAGTAGAGCATTGCACCTAGGAGTTGTCAGATTGATTCAGATTGATTGAGCATAGCAGCCTGGTCTAGAGTAGAAATGGGAAACTATGAAGATTGAGCAAATTCAGAGTGTGCTTTGAAGGTCAGCTGGTCCCTTTGGAAATGGGTTGAAGGAAAGGGTGTAAGAGAAAAGAGCCAAAGGTAATTGGGCAGTTTGGGATTAAGCATTCAAAAGATGAAGCTGCTGTTTATGTTGTAGATGGACGGCTTCAAGAGGCGCTTGGCTTTATATATACAGAGTCCTAGATGGGGGGGTACTCAAAAGACCACTGGATGTATGAGTGTGAAATTTGGGCAGAACATGACTGGTGATATAAAGGTGCCTCAAGTGCTTTATCATCTACTCTATTGGTAATATTTCTGATGCCTGGACCGTCCCCACTTTTATTAGTTGTCTGTGTTTCTACGCACGTGTGACATGTTCTCTAGCTGTCATCCTTAGTTTCTCTTACTTTGTCTTTGTTACAAGGTCTTGGCAGTTCCTCCAACTCCTCTTTCTTCCCTGTCACTGCCATCGTCTATGCTCCTAAGAACCGTATGCCAATATTTACAAAACACCTGCATTTTGTGGTTTTAATCAGATTTATTGATTTCATATAACCTATTTACATCTACAATATGGAAAAGATAAAGAAAAAAACAAATCCATCTAAACTTCTGGGCAGTAAGTTGACTTTTAATGTAAGAATGGAATTCTAAACTCATCCAGCTATATGACAGAAAGTAAGTCATTGGTATGATATTTTATTTATTTTAAATTTTAAAATTATATAACATTAATAGAGATATGCACATGCATAGACAAATCTGAGTACACATAAAATAGTTATTGCTCATATAAAATATAATTTAAATTGTTATATTGCTACATGTAAAATGTTGTTTCTTTTGCCCATTACATTATCTCACTTATATAATTTTATGTTTTTTAGTTTGTCCACCTAAAATCCCATGGAATGCTCTGTTGAGTTTCCCCTACCTAATGTGTCACTCTATATTGTAGTCAGTCAGTGGAGATAACCTATATGAAAAGATTTTGTAAATTAAAAGCTCTATTCATTAGATTTAATTTTATAGCAGAGTACTTAGTAACTGTAGTTCATGATTTATCTAATCATTTCACCATCATGATACCTTTAGAGTATTTATAATTATGAATAACATTGCTTTAGAGTGGGTATTTAAAATAATGATCTCTCTTTTTCTCTCTCTCTCTGTATGCTCTCACTCACACAAACACACACCCACCTCTCTGTATGGCTTACTCTTTAGGTAATGGCTTTATGCTTGTTATGCCAGTGATGTGTGCTTTTCTTTAGGCGAGACTTCAGCAATACATGGTCACTACAGATGAGCAGCTTATATCGCTCACACATGCCATTAAGAACTGTCCTGTGATAAATAACTCCAGACAAGAGGGTCAAGCATCAGAAAGGGCAGCTATGGGTAGAAGACCTGTGAATAATATAGGTAGGTGGAGTCTTATTATTCTCATACTGTCGTTAAATGGCCCAGTGGCCTCAGAGTAGTAGAAGAAGTGGCAGGCTAAAATGACTTAGGTGACCACTGTCTTCTGGCGGGCTTTGTCATTACTGTTTCATTAATATAATGCAGTGACTTAAGCTTTGCTACTGAAAAACTTTTAGTTATTGAAGGGTGAGAAACCAAGGGGTGATGGTACCTTATAAGATTCTTGTGAATTTTGTTATTGCCTGGGGAAAGTCAAAAATGCCATGGAGGTGCAAACCAGTTTACATCTTTTTATGTCTCAGCCTTGCTACCTGGTTAGAATTGCATGGAATTTACCACACTCATAATGATGAATTACCATGTTACCTGGTTTTGCAATGACCCTTGTGTCTGGAAGTCAGAATATTAAAAGGTTTTGAAGTTGCCTTACTTGTCATGACCATTAGGAAGGCTGAGGGTGGGGTGTGGGCTCTGTAAGTGTTTTCTTTATATCGCTTTGTGGCTTTTGGAGCTCTTCCTACACAAAACAAGAGCCTGCCTGTAAATTACTGGCAAACGAGGATGTACCTGAGAGACTGAGGACTCTGGGAACTTTCACACTACTTAAATGCATTTAAAAATAAATACTTGGGCAGTGGAGAGAGTGGTTTAGAGTACTTACTGCTCTTACAGAAGACCCAGGTTCAGTTCCCAGCACCCCTGTGGTGGCTCATAACTGCCTGTAACTCCAGTTTCTCGGAGTCTGAGGCCTTCTCCTGGCTTCTGTGAGCTCCTGAAAGCGTATGGTGTGCATTCAAACTCTCTCTCTCTGTCTCTCTCTCTCTCTCTCTGTCTCTCTCACACACACAAACATGTGTATATGTAAATAAAAAACAAATAAATAACAATTTTAAAATAGACTAAATGCCCAGCACTCAGGAGGCAGAGGCTGGCGGATCTCTGTGAGTTCGAGGCCAGCCTGGTCTACAAGAACTACCAGGACAGGCTCCAAAGCTACAGAGAAACCCTGTCTCGAAAAACCAAAAAAAAAAAAAAAAAAGACTAAATACCTAAAGGTGCCCATAATTGTCTTCTTTCAAATTAATGTCATCTTATCTTTCTTAGAGGGGCCTGTTGTAAGCAGTAATGTCTCCATGCCGTCGATGTTCAGAGGGGAAGGAGCCATTGAATTCCCACAGGAAGAGTTGCCTGTTAAACTGTCTCAGGGGCCAACCCCCACAGAGAACTTGAATCTGGCTAATAATTTCCCAGCACATATTTTCGAGCCAGCTGTGATGTTAACACCACCCAGGCAGAAGAGCAACTCAGAATTCTCTCCTCTGCAGGATGGTAAGCATGGCTCTTCTACATTTCCATGGAAGCTGTGACTTTTGCCCTTGATTCATATGATATATTATATATATATGTATGTATAGTGTGTATGCGTGTGTATTTTAGGGTAGTGTCATCCATGTCGTGTGTCCGTGTGTCCCCACTTCCCCCACCATCTCTGAAATAACTAGGTGACTTACTTTCATTCATGGGTTCAGTGGTCCATGGTGATTTGGCTCTGTTCTTTCCGAGCAGTGGTAGATGAAAACATGGTAGAGGAAAGCTGCTCAGGCATCATAACATCCTAGAGACGGGATAAGAAGAGGGCTCTGGGAAAACACTCTTGGAAGGCACGCAACTGGTGACCATGGCACACAGAGGAAACTTGTGGTAGTAGATTTTTGCCTTCCACCATCTGGGTCCGAGGCATCAAATTCAGGTCATCAGGCTAGGTGGCAAGTGCTTTTACCCACTGAGCTGTGTGTTATTGGTCCTTGAAAAGAACATTTTTAATTATTTTTCTTTCTTTGTTTGTTTTGTGTGTGTGTTGGGGGCTTCACTCACCCATGTATACTAGTGTGGAGGCCAACAATCGACAATACTAAGTGCATTCCTTTATCACATTCCATCTCCTTTGTTAATTTTATTAATTAATTTTGAGAAAGAGAGAAGGCATATCGATACCCTGGCTTATATGTGGAGGTCAGAGGACAACTCTGTGGAGTCTCAGAGTGGAACTCCAGCCGGTGTTCACGTGACTCTAGTTGCTGAGACAGTTTCCCAGCTCCTTTTTAGAAGTTATTTTTCCATCCCTACTTTGTGTGGATTTTTATTTCTTGAAGAATTTCTAATGTTTTCTTGCAGAGCAGTAGATCCTTGCTGCTAGAATTGTACTTCACCATTTGTTAGGCAAATAGGGCGTTGTCAGATCAGCCTGGTGAAAATGGAGACAGCACCGCGCTGAGAGACAAGTGCTGACAGCTTATCCACTCCTCATTGACGTGGTGGGGGAGAGGTTTGGGCTCAGATTCCTCTTCTGGACCCCAACTTTCTTATTCTAGTATGCGAAATTTTTTACTTTAATACTTTCTAATCGTGTAGTTTAATATTTCTTTCTCGGGGGCCTGGGAAGTTATTAATTATGTCTAGACTAAGGAAGTGGTGACATCTGTTCAGATCAGATTTTTATTCCTTATAGTACTAATTCAGTCCCCCCCCCCCCCCCCGCCATGTCAGACTGGCCTCAAACTCAAGATCATTCCTCATCATTTGTGAGCACAGGTGTGCAGCACTGTTCCTTGATAGGAGTTACATGTGTCAGTGTGCATTGTGACACATGATTCACAAGAAGCTAATAGTCTCAGGAATAGGAAAGTTTCTGTACTTGACTGTCCACATTCCTTCATAAAAATAATTTAGGCACTCAGAAGCCAAACCCATCTACTGAAGTACTTCCCTGATGACCATGACAGAACAATGTGCTGGTTATAGTGCCAGTTTATTGGAAAATGGAGTGCTTATGATTGTCTTAATTCTTGTCTGCAGTATTGAGGAGAACGGTTCAGACTCGTCCTGCCCCACGAATCCCTCCCACTGTGGAAGTCATAGAGAAAGAACAGAGCTGGGAAAAAAAGACCTTGCCTGTTGACCTTGACATTCAGAACTCAAGTGAGGAAAATCGCCTCTTCACTCAGAGGTGGAGAGTTTCTCACATGGGAGAAGATCTGGAGAACAAAACCCCGACACCATTTGTTAGCCTGTCACAGCCGCCTTGCAGTTCCCTTCCCTCCACTCAGCAATCGAGAAATCCTGTGTTCTCAGAGGAGCCCCCGGTGCTTGGAGATGGGCAGCAGCTTAGAACAAGTGGGGCATTGGCACAGAGGAAGGACATAGTGGCGCGGATTGCTGAGTTGACACTGCAGAATTCAGCCATCAAGGCACACCTGAATAATGTTCCTGGGCCAGTGGGAGAGCAAGGCGATGGGCTTCGGGAGCCAAGCAAACAGGGAAGTGCCGGTGACGGGACTGCTGTAAGTACCAGCGCAGACTCAGCACAGGTAGACCTTTCCCTGCTGTGGCAAGTTAAACAGGGACTGAAGGTTGGTTTTCACTTTTGGCTTCAGAGGGTTACTCAAGGTGGCAGAATCTGTTGCTCTGGACTTGAGGTTAGGCAGAGCATCTTGGTGGCAGAAACACATGGCAGGGGCTACTATCTCAGAGTGGCCCAGAGGTTCGGAGGACAAGGTACATCTCTTTAGGATGTGTCCCAGGTGACCAAATTCTTCCAGCTAAACCCTACCTCCTCCTTTTCATGGCCTCTCCATAATACTGTTATGTTATGGTTACTTCAGTGGCTCAGTCTCGTCAGTAAAGCCCTCAGGAGCCAGTCGCTTCCAGAGCCCATCAGCTGGCCAGCAGCCCCCAGTGTGTGAGTTGGTTTCATATTCAATCCATATCAGGCATCCAAAGAAATTTCTTTTCAGAAGTGACTATAGCTTTGACATGTCTTCCTTACAGGATAGATAAAACTTACCTGTTAGTTCATATTGTACTACAATAAGACAGCATGAAGGAAAAAACATAGAAAGTAGGATTAAGGTAAAATGTTTAGGCGGGATAAGGATAAGCTAGGAACGGATGACTTGGAATTAGGAGGACATAGAGTGCTTGCTGTAGCTAGATTGTAATAATAAGTAGTTTTACTCCTCACATGGCCTATTAAAGAGTAGTTGAACCTCTACTGATGAATAACCTTTTTCTAGGACACAGAATAGGTTTTTCTATAGAAATTATATTTAAAGAATCAGTTAAACTTCAATATGCATATGAGCCATCTGAGGAGCTTGCTAGGATGTGGTGCCTGAGTAGGTCTGGGGTGGGACCTGTGTCTTTCTAATATGCCCCTCAGTGATACCAGGACTACTGGTCTGTCACATTCTGAGGAGCATTGCTCTTATAGAGCAGGATTTTTTTTCCCCGTGTAACTATAGTGCCAAACATGGTGACTCAATGCCTATAATCCTCAAGAGACTGCGGCAGGGTTGCCATGGGTTTGAAGACAGCCAGGGCTATGTTAGTGAGTTCTGGGCTATGGTATGAGATCTGTCTTTAAAACAACAGCAGCAGCAGCAGCAACAACAACAAAACCCAGTCAACCCTGTCTGACTGTTCTTAGTCCCTGCCCCTTCTTACTGTCTTTCCCCAGCTCCGTTAACCACAGATCTACTCTCAGCATCTGTGAGATAAGCTTTTATAAATTTTCTACGTAAGATCCTAAGGATTTGCCTTCCTGTCAGTGAAGGAATTTTATAAGTAAAATAAACTCTATGGACTAACATGATAACTTAAACCTTTGTTTCGTTGTTTGTGGAGAGGAAAGTGAATCTAGTCCCAGACGGGAGTGTCCATGACACAGTCTGGTCATGGGGGATGTTTTATTTGACCTTTCTGAGCAGAGGTGACTCCCGTGCATCTGACAGTGGATGATAATTACTCCTGTAGTTGGAAAGAGTGGACAGCCTCCGACTACAGGTTTCTGAAGGAGCTGCTTTCTTAAGAGCTTTGAAATCGTGATTGAAGGCTTTGGTGTGGAAAGTGGGAGGTGAGAGGAAGAGCTGCCTCTGTTACTGTGAGTGCCGGGTGGTGGTCAGCAGCATCAGTGTGGGCGTGCGTGTGTTTACACATCACATTATCTGTTTATAGGGTTTTGAAGATCATTGGAAGCAGATCACTGTTGCTTTCTAAAAGGTACCAGTTAAATGCTGAGCCTGTACCCTTTCTAAATAGTGTAAATACTAGCCTGGAAAGGGAGGTCTGAAACTGCTGCTCTTACTAGTCCCTTTCTTTTTTAGTTGGAAATACAAAATAGGCTTTGATCCTTACTGGTTTACTTACCTTTTTCCAAAAAAAAAAAAAAAAAGAACAAACAAATAAACAAAACCCCCACAATCTAATAGGTAGAAATTATCATTTCTATCAGGGACTGCCTTCCCCCCACAAAAGGATATATTTAGCTAAATGAAATTATTATGATGATGAAAGTACATTTCTCTTGGGGCTTTCAAGCTATACTTATATCTCTGGAGTAGCTTTTTGTTTTGTATTGTTTGCCTTTTACTCTCTGTATCTTATGTTCCTTTCTCATCATGGATATTTTTAAATCAGATGTCTGAAGCCAAAAGTGGCCTGGAGGGGCTGACACGTGGGCAGAAAGACTGGTCGGAATTTTAGAGTCTGCCAGATAGTTCAGGACATGAAGCGTGTTTGAAGACTAATCTTAGAAAAATGTATCAGAGATATTCCTGTGTAGTCTGCGCCTGCTCAGACCCGTCACCAGTAGGAGTGTGGCGTTTGGCTCACTGGCAGGCATCTCTCCTCGTGTGATCTTCTCTTTCAGTTCAGCGGAGGCGAGTAGTAAGAGATGCAGGACAGTGTTGGCCCACTAGACTGTGCTCGTGCGGCGGTAGCAGTAGGAGAATTTGTGTATGCCTTTAGTTTAGTCTTAATTCTTCAGTTAAATGATTTATAAACTCTTTTTTTTAAATATTTTTATGGTTTATTTAACTTTTTTATGTGCATTGGTGTGAAGGTGTCAAATCCCCTGCAACTGGATCTTCAGACAGTTGTGAGCTGCCATGTGGGTGCTGGGAATTGAACCCAGGTCCTCTGGAAGAACACTCGGTGCTCTTAACCACTGAGCCATATCTCCAGCCCCGATTTATAAACTCTTTTACGCCATCTTTCATATGTGTATATAGCAAATTGCTGGTACTTAGAATAAAAATCAGAATTGGTATTTTTTTTTTTAATAATGAGTTTATGCATTTTTTCCCCTAAAGAATTTTCCAGTAGTTCCATCTCTAGTGCCAAGCAGCATGGAAGAACGGATTGCAGAGTTGAACCGGCAGAGCCTGGAGGCGCGCGGCAAACTGCTGCAGCTGATAGAGCAGCAGAAACTTGTTGGCCTGAGCCTCTCCTCGCCAGTGTCACCCGCTCAGTCACCGCTCAGAGCCTGGGCCGGTGGGTCGCCTATTCATGACTCTCAACTTTGAATCAAAAGAGGGGTATCCAAGCGTACTATGTTCTAGTTCCCCCGGTTTTGTACCAGAGAAACTGGCTTGGGTCAGAGACTGAGTGACAGGAGTAGTCATAGAAAGCTGTCTCTTGTTCTATAGCCAGCCTTTGGCATCCAGGGCAACGCCATCCAAGTGAAATATTCATTACAGTATGTTTATCTTAGGATGTATGCTGCGAAAATTGGGCCAAAATTAGACTTAAAATTTTTATCAACATCAGATTACAAATTATTGTCCTCTTAAAACCAGGAAAATATTTCCTGTCAAATTTGTTTTTTCTATTATTTTGTTATGTTTAGGAGTATGAAAAACAAGAAGGTCTTCTTAAATAATTGAATTGTGACTGAAAGTTTGTTTTATGGTAGTGCTATTCGGAGAATGTTAATTAAATGAAGTAGCTCTAAGTTGGCTGTTAGCCAGAAGTGAACCTATGCCCTCAAGGATGGCGCTGCATCAGAGGTATTGATTGGAGCCCTGGCTGAGGCCCAGATTGTGAGGCACTGGAAGCTTCTATCCATGGTGTTCCTGAGATGCTTGGGCCTTGGTGCTTACAGGAATCCATGTGTCCTGTGTGCTCTGGTGAAGTCGGGTACCTGAAAGGCACGGGAAGTGTTCACTTCTGTTGGAAATTATGTAGCTTTTGAAATGACAGACAAGAAAGCAGACTCTTGGAAATTACCTTTATTTCTGTTATCCCATCTAGTTCTCAACACACCCAAAATAGGATTCTTGGTTTTATAGGAACCTCTGTGGGGTATAATCAGAATAAATAATATGTCATGAATTAAAAATCTTTTGTTTGGTAGGGTAACTGAGTAATTAATTGGCTTTGTTCTTTGACAACTCCATCCGTGTATAAAATACAGACAGCTCCATCCGTGTACAGAGTGCAGACAACTCCATCCATGTATAGAATACAGACAACTCCATCCGTGTATAGAATACAGACAACTCCATCCGTGTACAGAATACAGACAACTCCATCCGTGTATAGAATACAGACAACTCCATCCGTGTATAGAATACAGACAACTCCATCCGTGTATAGAATACAGACAACTCCATCCGTGTATAGAATACAGACAACTCCATCCGTGTATAAAATACAGACAGCTCCATCCGTGTACAGAGTGCATTCTCGTTCATCTCACCCCCCTCCCTTTTCTCTGTCACACCATCAGCCCCTGCCTACAGCTCCCTTTCCCATGCACATAACTTGTTGTTTTGTGACCCACTGATTTTAAAGGTGGTCTGAATGGCCATGGATGTGGAACTATCCCCTCAGGGCCTGGAGTAGTATATTTAACTAAAGATGGTGACACCTCCTCTCCCCATGTCCCAGAATCGTACGCAAGCAATCGACGAACATTTACTAGTAAAATACTTTATATCCATCATATTCATAGAGGATCCTGTAAATCCTTCTTAAAATTCAGAGATTTCATGACTATAAGGGGAAATGAAACCCTATTTAATCAAATTAAAGAAATAAAACTTTTGGGCTAGCTCCTTTTAGCTTTTAAATTTAATTTTTTAAATTCTTTAACAATTTCACAAATACATGCATTTGAATCACAGTTACCCCCACTCATTCCTTCCCTCCACCCACTCTCCTGCTCCCCGATGTATCTTAGGGCTCACTTCTTGCTCTGTGTGACAACACTTGTCAGAACATTCTGGCATCCTGCGAACTGGCGTGCTGTAAAATTGGCAGAAACAGCTGATGTTTCTTGTCTTAGAAGTTCATTTTTAAAAATCACCTCTCAAGTGCTTCTATGAACTGTCATGATAAAAATATAAAAACACCTAAATTTGTAATGTATAATTTCCAATAGTATTGAAATTGAGCAAAATTGCTACTTTTATTAGTGAAAAGTAATGAAGCTAACATTATTTTTATATTTTAGAAGAAGGAAAGCGAACCATCGAGGTGTCTATTCCAGGAATGGAGGCTCCAGAGAGTTCGAAATGCAATACCGTCTCTCCTGTCAGCGGGATCAGCTCAAGACGGTAGGGCTCCAGGCCAATGTTATTAAAGCACCAAGAGTGTCTGTGTGCCATTCTCTCTGTGCCCAGCATCTGCTTAATTTAAGTTCAGGCAGATCCATTCATACAGAGGAAGTAACTAGGGGAGAGTAAAGTGAGTCAGCTTAACCAAGTAGGGCTGCTTGCTTAGCACAGATGTGGGCTAATCTTTAGGTGTTTATGGCTGCAGCATGAGGAGACTGTGTCCCGGGGTAGCACTTCACCATAAGTGAACACAAAGCCGATTGACCGTGGATCAGGAAAGGGCATCCTCGTACTGTACCACGCTGCTCCAGTTCTCATTACACCAGGCTACCCTGACCACCTTCCCCACTACTGCACAGCCTTGAAATCTTACCTGAATGGTATTATATGGAAGGCATGTGCAATTATCTGTCAAAAACCACAGGATGTGTCTGTCACACAAAGACAGCCCTGACAGAAACTGGTCTTGTGTTAATAGTGAGTCAGTGTTGTGTGGTCAGTTGTAACGTGTTCATTAAGACGTTAGGACCGAGGTAAGGGTACCTGAGAGCACTGCTCTTTCCTCTTTGTCTGTAGAGCTAAACTACTCGAAGCAGTAAACACCTAGTTCAAAGTTTTGTGTTGGTGAAGTATTAGGAGTGATCTACCTCATTTGGAACTGTCACCAAACCTTCTCAAACTCTTGCCACTATTGAGAGCTGTTCCCATAATTGTTGACGGCTAGTGGTAATACCTCGCTCTCTGACCGTTTCTTTCTCGTGGATAGATCTTCAGGGGCTACCAGCAATTCTTGTTCTCCACTAAATGCCACCTCGGGAAGTGGGCAATTCACACCTGTTAATCCAAGAACAAAGGTACGTTATAAATTATGATCACTACATAGGGTCAGGAGTGTGAGGGTGGAGGGTGACTAGCTTCTTTCTTAGTTATTATTCCTGTTGTCTTTACATGATATAAAATTCTATAAAGAAAAGAAATACTGTAACTTATCTCTGTTTGAAAACAATACATTTATTTTGTTTTCTAGGGTAACTAAGAAATAAGTTAAAATTTGATAGGATTCCAAGTGTCTTCCAAGACTAGGAATTATTTGTTTCATTTTGCTTCCCACGTGCCGTGGTCTGGAGCAGCTTATAGAGATGAGGTGTCGGTCCTGCTGTTGGTGGTGTGACTGGGTAGAGTTTGGGACAGCCAGAGACCTGAGTGTGGCGCTTTATCCCACTGTGCCCTGTCTGTGGGTGACTTTGTTAGACATGTGATAGCACAGAGGGCAAATGCATGCCTTGTACATTTTCATGTGTTCTGGTTTGCTCCAGAACTGTCTGGGACCTAAACATTTACAGTTTATCTGATTTTTCACAGAAAACATTTTTATGTGTGTTGATAATACAGAAAAATACAGTTTTCTCTCTGTCATAGGAAATTGTAAGAATATCTTTAGAATTGTAAAAGTTGTATTTTCCGGAGGTAAGCCAGTAACTGATATGGGGAAATGAATATATCACAAAGTGGAGATGAACAGCCCAGATGAACTAACTACCTTATTAGCTACCCATGTTGCCTAGTATTAAAAATTTGTCCTTTCTGATTCTTAAATTCTGAAAAGCTTAATCTTTTGATATGTTCATGGAACTTAGCATCACTCAGTTTACTAAGCTCTAATGACCTTCTTTTTACCATCTTTAAAATTGTACTTCTGGTTTGATTAAATTTCGGCTTTCTCCTTTTGAAAGGTCCTTGTCTTTCTAGGGTGCCCGCTGAGCAGGCAACTGCTTGGTGGTATCTTTGTAGGGCAGGAGCTTTGCCAGGAGAGGTGACACTCCAGAGCCACTTAACACATGGTGACTTTGTTGCATGTACTTGATCTGAGTGTCTGTGAATCTCTAGTGGGCTCGTATCTAACTTCTTTCTGCATCTCTGTTCAACAGACTGAAAAGCAAAGTGAAGAAGGCTGGTTCGCTCTTTCTACCCACATGTCATAGAAATTAAATTGGAGCGTGCCCTGAGTGACTTCTTCTCGCCTTCCCCTCCCTCTTCGTGAATCCTCTTTGCAAGTTCTGACATTTCTCTTCAGATAAAAACCTGCAAAGATATCCCGTATTAATGGAAACAAGAAAAGAAGAATTATTTTAATATTTTACTTTTTCAAATAGGTTTTTCAACAAAGCATCTAACCTATGAAGTTCCTGTGAATAAAACTTTGACTGTAGGAAAATTTCAGTTTTCTATTTGATTAGCCTTGTTAAACTTTTTAGTAATATATTGCTATCCTTGTCATTGCTGTTGAATTTTTATTTTTGTTGTTGTTCTTGTTTAGTGCATCTTAAATGTGGATGAGCTTCCCAGGACAACTAAATTGCTTTATGTATAACTTACAATAAAAATTTTCTGGCTCTCAGAAAAATATGGTAATTTCTTTTCTGCTATCCATCATTCCAAACGAATGTGCAGCTTTAAAAAAGCAAAAGCCTGAGGCTGTGGCGTCTACCTATAATCCCACCATTCAGAAGCCTGAGGCTGTGGCGTCTACCTATAATCCCACCATTCAGAAGCCTGAGGCTGTGGCGTCTACCTATAATCCCACCATTCAGAAGCCTGAGGCAGGGGGCTCTCTAATATATAATGAGTTCCATGTCAGCCTGAGCTTTGTAGGATAGGAGGTGGGCGTAGGAATGTTTATTTTTCTTAAGCAAGTAACAGTGGCTGTGTGCTTAATAAAATTTTTAATGTGGGTTTTAAGTGTGAAAATTTCAAAAATGATAATGTACATCTAATAAATAATGATTCCAACTATAATGTTCAGATGTCTAAATGCAGTCCATTGATTTAATGATAATGTTAGAAAAAGAAATATAAAAACTGTTCTCAATTTTTCTTGCCATAAATTACCCAGAATGAATTTCCTTTCATGAATTGACTGGTTCTTAGTGTTGGCTTCTGTTTCCAGTGATGTCTACCATGCTGTGATGGGAATTTCCAACCTCAGAGAGTTTGGGGGGTGGGGGTGGGGGTGTCAGGAGGAGCATTACTCTGAAGTCCCCAGAGTTCCCTTACTCTGCAGGTGAGAACCACGGTCTAGGAATCTCACTGTGTAACTCTCTCCTGGGCTTCTCAGTTGTAGCAAAAAATAAAATTATTTTCTTCTAACACTGATGAATTTGTGTGAGGTCTGTATTTGCTTTAATTTTTGCATATTTCTTCTGCTTGTTTTGTACGTTTTGCAACTCGTTACTTAAAGTCCTTCTTTGCCTAAGATAAAACCATTTTGATGCTACCCCTCCCTGAAAATTTAGGTCACCTGCTTTCTCTGTAAATGTATTTTTTATGTGTGTATGGCAATGTATAGGAATGTTCTTGTGTGTGTGAACGTGCATGTTCCTGTTCCTGTGAAGGCCCGGAGATTGAAGTCTGGTGTCTTTCTTAATTGCTCTTCACCATAGATACTGACGCTGAGCTTAGAGTTCACCAATTCGGCTAGGTCAGCCAGCCAGCTTGTCCCTGGGTTCCCTTTCTTCCTCTCCTGCACACGGAGATTACAGGATAGCCACCATGGTGCCTGGTAACTGTGGTGCTGGGAATCTGAACTCCATCCCTAATGCCAGCATGGCCAATGCTTCACCCACTTAGCAATCTTCCCAACTCCATGAACGAAATACATACATATATACATATATTAGCAATTTTATACATTTATACAATGCATTTTGATCTTACAGATCTATCACTATCTCACTCCAACTCTCCCTAGTACCTTTCATCCCTCCCTGCTTTGTGTTTATTTTGTTGTTATTACTAACTTGAGCCAATTAATGTTGCCCATATGCACGTGAATGTGGGGCGGTCCACTGGGGTATAGGCCACTTAGCAAAGCAGAGTTAGGCTCCTTTCCCCAGGGGCAGCAACTGTCCATAGCTCTGCCACCAAGAGTGGGCCCTCGGGGCCTCTTCCTTGTCTCTGCTGGAATTTTGTCTAGCTCGATCTTGTACGAGTAACCACAGCTGCCGTGAAATGTCTGGAAGTGGACATTTCACTGCTTTCCTCCCCACCTAATATTCCTGCTGCCCTTCTGTGATGCTCCCTGAGCCTTGGATGGAGTCATGTGGTTGACAAAGACGATTCTTTGGAAGCCGAGCACTCTCTTAAGCACCAGTCTTCAGTAATATGATCTCACCATCTAGTTATGGTGCACAAACAACGGCATAGAAATAGTGTGTGTTTGGGGGGGACCTCTGTCACCTCCCTGACTACTATCTGTAGAGCTTATCCTGTGTAGCACTGAGATTAGCATTTAATAACCCTTGCCTTCTGGGAACAGCATTGTTCACCCCCGAGGACGTTCTTTGATACATATTTTCCTTTGTTTTTCTAGCTTTACCCCCCCTACTCACCCTAAAACCTTTAAAGCGATTATTCTCAATCTGAATACTTTAGACTTTTATTTCTCTTAATGTTGCGTTGCACAAGTGTGTGTGTGCACACACAAATGGAGAAATCAGTCATTTAGCAAGTTAAATCATGAAAAATAATTCAATATTTTAGACCTCTTTGTTTTCATCTAATCCTTTGAGCTGGAATTACACTTAGGACACAGTTAATTTCTAGTTATCCACTTCCTTTTTGTACTTTGCTACATGCTTTGAGGACAATCTTTTTACGTATCCAGGTCCTCCCTGCATGCTTGCTATCCCCTGGAATGCTCCTAACTAGCACCTCTGTTCATTAGAGCAAAAATTCTGAAACTGTCCCAATATGGTACAGTGTCTGTTCATTGATAATTTCTATCCATTCTTCCACAAAGAAACGTCAAAAGGTTTTGTTCAATTTTTGTTGGGTTATTTGCTTTTTTATTAAAGGCAAGAGCTCTTTATATATACAGTTTCTTTGTCTGATACATGCATTGCAGATTAAAAAAAAACTCTGAGGGTTGATCACAAAGTTTTATTTACTCTCTAAACACAACACAAAACCTTATTTACTCTCTGAAAGCCGTCAGGTATGTAGCTTTAGAAAATGCTACCTCACCCCTTGGTTTATCTGTCTACTGCGTTTTTGCAGCTGGCAAGTTGCCTTGCCTCGCTAAGAACACACCCACTTTAAAAAGTTTTGTTTTTAATTGACAAGTACTTGGAAAGTGGGGCACGTACCTCTGAAAGTGCTCAGTCATTAGGGTCATAAATGCTGGGCTTCTATTTTTTTTTTTTAGAGAGAGAGGTGGGTCGCAATAGCCTCCCCAGAGTAGACTGGACTCTGCCGACAACACACCTCTGGTCAGTTTGGGAAAAAGCCATGGGGTAATGCCACGCATGCGCTTTTTCTCCTGTCGGTCCCCTCCCCCACTGCACCAGCCGGGGCGGCCCTCCCCGCCCGCCGTGGCGTTGCTGTGGCAACCATAGTAAACGGAGTCCTCGGGCAGGTGTGAGTAGAAACCAGCTGCGGTGCTGAACACCTCTGGTAAGTGGGCTCCAGCAGCGGGGCTGTCCCCACAAGTCCCCCTTAAATCTGGTAGCGACCCAGAGAGCCGCGAACCCTGCCTGGACTTCCCTTAGGTGGAACTAGTGTGGTCCAGTTTCCCTGGAGCACTTTCCTGGTCAGTTCAGCGCAAACATTCGAAGCCACCAGTGCAGGTTAGATGGGCCCAGCTCCTGCCTGCAGGGAACTGGTAATGCGGGGCAAGAGTCAGCCGGTGAGCAGTTGGATACCACAGACGGGAGAAGAAAGCCTGCTGGGAATGCTCCTGGGGTCAGCAAAGCCACCTGTACCCAACCTGAGTTGTGAGTCTTGTCAAGTGGACCCCTCTGCACTAGTTTCTTTATCTGTTAAAAACAAACAAAAAATACCCCAAAAAACAAAAACACAAACAAAAAACAAAACAACCAAAAACGGGCTTACCTCCTGGGGTTCTTGTTAGGATTGGAGGCCAATGCATACAACTAAATGCTGGTAATAGCGAAGGTAGTAGGAAGGAAGCGGGTGTGCAGAGTATCCGGCTAGCCGTGAGTTGTCTTCCTTGCCTACTTGGTAAGACAAGGGAGTCCCTTGAGAAAAGGGACTAGAGAGGAAGTAGGAACAGAGTGGGGTGCAGTGATTTAGAACCCCACAAGGAAGGGCTTTTAATGCCATGCTGAGTGTTTGTACAAGAACTCAGTGTTCTTACATTCTCCTGTGACAGACTGAAGCACTCAGTGCTTTACATCAGGGCGGCACACTGAGAGCTCTCTCAGGAATACAAAGGGCAAGGCAGCCACAGGACATTAGAAGGCTGGCAAGGTGACTCAGTGGGTTAAGGCCCTTGCCTCCAAGCCTGACAACCTGCGCCCCGTCCCTGGCCCCCTCTGGTGGAAGGAGAGAACCAGTTTCTACAAAGTTGTCTTGTGATGCCCACATATGCGCCACCCCCACACAAAATATAACAAATGCAACCAAAAGTTAAATTTTATAGGTTTTATTTATTTTATGTGTCCAGTGCTCCTGGAGGGCATAAGAAGGCTGGATCCCCTGGGACTGGTACAGATGACTGTGAGCTTCCACACAGGTGCTGGGAATTGAACTCTGATACTCTAGAATAACAGCCAGTGCTTTTTTTAAAAAAAACATTTTTTGGTGTCTTTATTGACCTATACCTTTTTTCCCATTCCCTTTCCTTCCCCGCTTCTCCCCTTTCACTCTCCCCCTGCCCCCCACACTCCCAATTTACTCAGGAGACCTTGTCTTTTTCTCCTTCCTAAGTGGATCTATGTATGTCTCTCTGAGGGTCCTCTTTGTTGTCTGGGTTCTCTGGGGTTGTGGATTGTAGGTCATCCTTCGCTTTATTTGTGTCTCATATCCGCTCATGAGTGAGTACATGCCATGTTTGTCTACCTGGGTCTGGGTTATCTCACTCACAATGGTTTTTCCTAGTTCCATCTATTTGCAAATTACAAGATGACATTGGTTTTTTTACCGCTGAGTACTACTCCATTATGTAAATGTACTACATTTTCCTTATCCATTCTTCAGTTGAGAGGCATCTAGGATGTTTCCAGCTTCTGGTTATTATGAATAATGCTGTAATAAACATAGTTGAGCAAATGTCCTTGTGGTATGAGTATGCATCCCATGGATATATACCCAAAAGTGGTTTTGCTGGGTCTTGAGGTAGATTGATTCCCAATTTTCTGAGAAACCACCATACTGATTTCCAAAGTAGCTATACAAGTTTGCACTCCCACCAGCAGTGCAGGAGGGTTCCCTTTACCCCACATTCTCTCTGGCACAAGCTGTCCTCAGTGTTTTTAATCTTGGCTATTCTTACAAGTGTTAGGATGGAATCTCAGAGTTGTTTTGATTTGCATTTTTCTGATGACTAAGGATGTTGAGCATTTCCTTGAGTGTCTTTCAGCCATTATGGATTCCTCTGTTGAGAGTTCTCTGTAGGTCTGTACTCCATCTTTTTATTGGATTATTTATTCTTTTGATGTCTAGCTTCTTGAGTTCTCTGTATATTTTGGAGATCAGTCCTCTGTCAGATATGGGGTTGGTGAAGATCTTTTCCCATTTTGTAGACTGCCAGTTTTTGTCTTGTTGACTGTGTTCTTTGCTTTACAGAAGCTTCTCAGTTTTAGGAGGTCCCATTTATTAATTGTTGCTCTCAGAGTTTGTACTACTGGAGTTATATTTTAGAAGTGGTCTCCTGTGCTACTGCATTCAAGGCTACTTCCCACTTTCTCTTCTGTGAGGTTCAGTGTGTTGGGTTTTATGTTGAGGTCTTTGATTTATTTGGACTTGAGTTTTGTACATGGTGATAGATATGAATCTCTTCCCATTCTTCTAAATGTCGATATCCAGTTATGTCAGCACATTTGTTGAAGATGCTTTCTTTTTTCCATTTTATAATTTTAGCTTCTTTGTCAAAAAAACAAGAGTTCATGGGTGTATAGATTGATATCTAGGGCTTTGATTAGATTTCATTGGCCCTCTGTTTTATGCCAATACCAAGCTGTTTTCATTACTGTAGCTCTGTAGTATAGTTTGAAGTCAGGGATGGTGATGCCCCCAGAAGTTCCTGTATTGTACAGGATTGTTTTGGCTATCCTTGGTTTTTTGGTTTTCCATATGAAGTTGAGTATTGTTCTTTCAAGGACTGTGAAGAATTTTGCTGGGATTTTGAT